TGCCAGTCAGTATAACGGTACTGACTGCCGTACTGGGCCAGTAGTGGACCAACCCTGGCTGGTAACGCTGTCCAGTACTGATTTTGTCCCGCTCACCAGTACTAACGTAGTACTAGAATAATACTGGCATAATACTGGCAAAGTACTCATCCGGACTTAAAATCTCACTTTTTTACAAAATGCTAAAACACGCTTTCCAATGCAAATTTCATCCTTATTAGCTTATTACTCCCATTTTTACCACGAACAGGTAATGTGAAGCCAATAATAGTTAATGTTATTTAGAATATATAAAATATTATTAACAATAAATAATTAAAATAATAATTATCATTTATATTGATTAAATTATTTTATTTTTAATAAATTATTTTACAAAAAATAATTTGTGTTGTAAATTTTTTTATTTTTTTAAATGCATAATATTTAATTTTTTTTACTTTGCACTTATACTTAATTTAATAATTATTTAATAATTGATATTACACATGAACAAATATTGTACTTATAACACTTAAAACTAAGAACGAAAAATCTCGCACGCATGGGGGATCGAACCCTAAACCCTTAGAACGCAAGTCAGATACGCATACCGCACAGCCGCGCTGGCTTGAAGTGCTGACTTGAAGTAGTTCACCTAATACAAAAGTTTTGATTTCAAAGTTTGTATTATCTATTGATCACGAAAATAAAATGAATTTATTCTTAAATTTTTTAAACTCATAAAATTTTTTCAATTTTTACAAAGATTTAATGAAATAAAACTGGATATCAATTTCAGTTAAATATTTTTAATAAATTATTTTTACCGTAAATAATATTAAAACAGACAAAAATGATTGATGAATTACATAATTAAAAATAAGTTAATAAAAGACGACTGTAAAATATGAATGGTGAAAAATTTTTTAAATTTAATATTTAATTATTAATAATATTTAAAAATTACAGTGAAAAAATTACATTTGCTTTATTTTTAAAACTATTAGAAAAAAATTCTCAACTTATTGTTATTGTATGCATGATAAATAACTTAATGCACATATTTCAATGAGTACTAAAATAACTAAAAAAACATAAATATATTTTATATAGGTATATAATAATACATTACAATTACATCCAAAATTTTGAGGGAAAGTATTCGAAAGAAATTAATATACATTTTTTAAAATAAAAAATCATCGTTTTCTACCTATTGAAATAATTTAAAGACTTTTTCATTTAATGTTTTTTATCACCGACATAGTACTGATTCGGTGTGAATGACAGTGTACTGCCAGTACTGGTTTTAATATTTTTTTACCTCCGACATAGTACTGATTCGGTGTATTAGTCAGTACACTGCCAGTACTGAAAGTCAATACCGACAGCCAGTATTGGATCAGTACCATGCCGGTGTTTAATTACGGCGAGCTACGGATATTTCTACTTGGGGAGTCACTAATTTAAATTAGTAAACATTTTTACTAATTCAGATTTAGAGAGTAATGAAAATATTTTAAAGTTTTCAATTAAAAAAATAGCTAATAATTTTTTAGAATTTTTTAAATTGAAAATAAAAATTATAGCATTTTTAGAAAATTGATACTTTTCTCCAGGATTTTTCATAAAATTTCCCGATTTTTCTGACACGTGGCAACACTGAATAAATATAATAAATTATATTAAAAATAAATTCGAAAAAAAAGAAAAAACATTTTTCCTTTTTTTAATTGAAAAATAAACTCCAGAATTTTTTTTTGATTATTAAATGTAAATTTTTTTGTTTTTATTTTTCTGATTCATAATTAATTTAGCCATAATAAAAAAAAAAAAATGGCTCATATTGAAAAAGAAGAAAAATATTTTAGTGTAACAAACTGATGATTATTATATATATATATGATGTAATCGCTGTTTATAAATTGTGTCGTCTTCAGAATGTTGGTCTCTCTTCAAGTGTGAACCAGACTCCAAAGTACAACGACCGACCGGTTCGGCAGCTAACAAAAATGTTAACGTTGAGGTAACCTTCTTCCCAGCATCACATGTATATATATATATATATATATTATCTATGTGAATGTGAGAGTGAAAGTGCTCTGAAAAATATAAATGTATGTGTGCAAATAGAAGCGTGTACAGGTGCACTCACAATCCAGTGCATCGAAGACATTTCTCTACCTATAGTATATATATATATATATATATATATATATATATATATATATATATATATATATATACAATATATAGAAATTTTGCAAGCTTGTATATGCGTCATTCAACGACCAGTACATTATATGCACTCTTGAATAATGGCACTCTCACGTTTTGTAACCCTCAATTAAAAAATGTTTGGTCAGCCAAGATTTTGTAATCAGCCTTGCATCTACTGTTACAAAAAGTACCTGTGTACCATACTGACACAGAGATTCTCAAATAGAATAAGGGAAATATCGAATTATTATCAAAAACCGAAAACAACAAAAAAAAAACCAAAAAAAGAGGAAAAAAATTCAGAAAATAAAACATAAAACCATTTTTTATATTTTTAATTTTAATTTGATTTTTATTATATTAGTGATTATGAAATAGGTATTTTTTCAAAGAATCCAATCAATAACTATCGAATAATAATAAGTTTTCGATATTATAACTCTTCCAAAAAAAAAAAAAGAAAAAAACCTATTAGCCAAATAATTAGAATTCATGACTATAACAGTTTTTTTAGCCTCGGGAGATTTTCTTGGATTTTTCAACGACTATTGACCATTTAGATTTATATCATAGGCTACATTTTTATTGTTATTATATTCAAACGAAACATTAATTTGCATAATTTATTTATACTATTATACAATTGTACTATTTATATTAAATAAAATCTTATGTGATTATTGTGATTTTAAATATGTAAATATTCTCCGCAGGTTTTCTCACAAAACTACTTTTTAAAGATTAAACTAAAATTATTTTTTTTTTCTTTTTAAATCAGTCGAATATTAAATATTTTGAAAAAAAAATTTATATTATTAAAAAATTAATATTTTGCCAAAGAATTTATTATTAAAATATTGCATATTTGGGAAAATGACTTTTTAAAAAACGTATTACTGTTATATTAAAACATTCTACAAATATGTAAATTAAAAAAAAAAAAATAAATAAATATTTTGCGAGAAAACCTATGGAGAACATTTTTTATGAATTAAACAATTACTCGTCTTTAAAATGACAAAGAGAAGAAAAAAATTATCAAATTTCAAAAACAAAAAAATTACTCTCAATATTTACATTGACTAAAATCATTTGTATTTCTTGAGATATACAATATTTAATTTAACAAAAATGTCAAGGTCCTCTCTTTGACTATTTGATTTTTCTACGAATTTCACTTAAGTTAATGCTAATCGATTCTTACGCAAAAACCTTTTGGCTTTTATAATCCGTGCAAAATATATACTATATATTTTTTTTTTTATAGAAAGTTATTTCAATACTTTTGTTTTAAAAGTATTTTTTTCTTATTTTATTCCTTCATAAATTATAATATTGCAATATATATATATATATATAAATCACTTTCTTACTATAATCTGTTTTACACGCAATCATCTTGTGTGCAATAAATGTTAATACAACTTTTTGAATCGTTTTTAAAATAATATAAATTGTTGGCAATATAAAAATCATATTTAATTTAAAAATAAATGAAAATAAATAAAAAGAACCATGTAGTTATTTTACAGAAACAAGTAAGCAATAATTTTTAATTAACAGATATATTTTCATCGATATAATAAATTGGCAATATATAGAATTTATTCTATTTTAAAATACTTTCCATTTGCAATCTCAATTTTTTTTTCTTTTACCCCCAATGAAAACAACTTTTATTTAAATATTAATTTAACAACTTTTGAAAGAGGTAAAATTTCTCATTAATCATAAATTTTAAGCATCATTTTGTTTTCATCTCTTTCATAAAGGAAAAAAAAAATTGTACTTGAAAGGAAAATATAAATAGAATATGATAATTTATTAAACTAAAAATGTATTCAGAATTCAGATGCGAATGGGATAAAAAAAAATAGAAAATAATATTATTCCCACTTTTTTTTTTTCATTAGTCTTTAGTCATAATTAATTTTTTCTGATCACATAAATATAGGTTTACGACAAAATTTAAACTTATGAAAAAAAAAAAATGCGATAAATTTCAAATGACAATTCATATTTTCTTTTTAAAGGATCATTAATAGTTTTTACAACCTTCATTTTCTTTTATAGCTTTTAAGATATTCGTCAAACTATACTATAGTATACTTTAGTGTCAAGGTTGGATATTATTATTAAATGACAATATTAATTCATTCTTAAGAGATGTGTTTTTTTTTTTTTTTTAAATAAAAAAACTATCTTGATTCAAGAAAATTTCCTTCACAATTTATTTATTTATTTAATATTAAAAATAATTAATATTGAAAATTTAATAATTGAAAAATAAATTTTTGTTTAAAAAAATTTATGAAAATGTGATTTTTTTTTTAAATATATTTATTTATTTTTGTAAACCTTACAAAAGGATGCAAGGATTGTACGTAACGAAAATGTTACCGAATGCTTAAGAAAACGCAAATTCAAGATTGAAGGCCGTTTAATAATGTATTTACACAATAATTATCATTCTTTCCAATTTTTACCTGAACAGTGCAACTTCTCGCAACAATATATTCGTGAGGTGTATTTCAATGCGTTTTGATCTTAGATTAGAATGTTTATTCTTAATTTTCTAATATAAATATTCGCGAATATTTTTCTATTAAAAAAAAAAATAAAAAAAATTTTTAAACATAAATTCTCTTTACTTCATTTTTTAAAATACTTTTTTCATGAAATTTTTTTTTTCTTTAAAAAATTTTTCATTTATAAAAAAATTAGAAATAGGTAAAATTTAAAATAATTGTGGAAATATTTTTTTTGATAAAGAAGAAAAAATTTTTAAATATACTCACTATGTCTGAATTTTCCTCGTTCTGAAATGAGCATACTAAGTGGTTTGGGCACCTTCTCCATTGGAATTTCCCCATCTCGATTGGGTTTAATTCCAAAGAGTGCATTTCTTCCCACCTTCATATATTGGCGGCCCATCCTCTTCGGTGAACCATCGCCAAACAAGGACGTGATGAATCTCATTTTGTTGGCTTTTTTTTATCTCTTTTTAGAACCACAAAATTATTTATATACAATCTTCAACTTTTTTTTTTCGCTAAAGTATCTTTCCTCCCTCCCACCCTTTTATACTAAAAAATTGGCACTTTTTTTCAAACTAAAAATGCAAAGCCAGCTTTGCAAATTGATAATCGGTTTTTTTTTCTTTTTTTTAATTCATTACAGTCTTTAAGCGTCTTCTTGGCTAAATGAAATTATTTGCAACTTATTTCTCGAAATAGCTGCAGAAATAAATATATATATATATATATATATATATAAAAGTTTATTTAGCACCATTAATTTTTTTTTTTTTCTTGAAAAAACTAATTTCGTCACGTCACTTCACCCAACATTGTTCTTATTGAACATATATTAAAGAAAAAATATTCTATTTAAAATTATATATTAAAAAATTAATTTATAGTAATTTATAATCACTGGCCGAATCACTGGTCCATTCTCACGTTCCTGATACTCAAAACTCAAATATCCAATCTGAAACATTTAAATAATTCTACAATTAACAAAAAAAAAAAAATTGCTACTTTTTTTTTATTTAAATATATTTTTAAATAAGAAAAAAAAAATTTGAATATAGTGTAAACAATATTTTTATTTTTTCTTATAAATGCATAACAACAGTTCTTAATCAATAATAAAATGACATGAATTTTTTTTTTTTCTCAGACAAACAAAAAAACTAATTGTCACGAGAAGTTATTAAAAAAATTTGCATTTCTTGATTCAAATGCGTCAATATCTTGAAAAAGTGAATTTTTCTTTATGATTTATGAACAGTTTTTAATATACAAGTTATTATAATCTATCATAATATGACTGTATCATTAACAATATCATTATCAACTTGTTTATTCTTACTTTTCCCTCATTACTAATTTTGCTTGAAAAAAATAAAAAAAAATGTAAAACAAATATTTCTAATTAAACAATATTCAACCTTCAATATAAAAATAATTTAATTAAATTAACATTTCTGATTTTTGATAATTTAATATTACTATTGCAGAAATCGACTACTTACATTTAAATTCAATAATTATGTTAATGGAAAAATATTATTGTCACCTCCTAAATCTATTTTATATGAATATAATTATATAAATATTGCGACATTTATTTTAATCAGACAATTATTATACCAATAGTTTTAATTCAATTACCATTTTACAAATTCAAGTGCAAAAAAAAAAAAAAAAAAAAAAAAAAATGAAACTCTGAATCTAAGTAATTAGTATTAGCATGAAGATCACATAAATATTGTACTCTTTTTTTTTTACAAAAGCTACGTACTTTTATTTCATTAAAAATTTATGCTAAAATAAAATTAATATTCGAGTTTTTTTTTTTTTTTTTTTTTAAAGAAAAAAATTGACCTCTTATGTACATATAATATGTATCACTTTCAGGAAATCACTAATGACAGGATTTTTCTGTTTTAAATGGCATGCAGTGCCATCAGAATTAATTAGCACTTCATTAAAAAAAATATATATACATATATATAAATTGGATGAAAATAAATATATATATATACACTGAAAAAAGAGTTTGGTATTGATAACCAAACATTTGGTTGGTATTTCAGAAACCAAAATTTTTTTGTTAAATCAACAAAATTTTAATTGTCTCAATCAAAATTCGTTTGACACAACCAAAATTAGAAAAAAAGGATTTTTGTTGCTTCAACAAAAAAAATAAAAATTTTATTGCTTAAATACCAACCAAACGTTTGGTTATCAATACCAAACCCTTTTTTCAGTGTATGGCAAAAATTCATATGACCAAAATTAGTTACTATGGCACAAGTTACTATGGCAACAGTTACTTCCTATGGCAATAGTTACTATGGCTAAAGTTACTTACTATGGCAAAAGTTACTATGGCACAAGTTACTATGGCAACAGTTACTTCCTATGGCAAAAGTTACTATGGCAAAAGTTACTATGGCAACAGTTACTTCCTATGGCAAAAGTTACTATGGCAAAAGTTACTATGGCACAAGTTACTATGGCAACAGTTACTTCCTATGGCAATAGTTACTATGGCACAAGTTACTATGGCAACAGTTACTATGGCAACAGTTACTTACTATAACAAAAGTTACTATGGCAACAGTTACTTACTATGTCTAAAGTTACTATGGCACAAGTTACTATGGTAACAGTTACTGTGGTAAAAGTTACTATGGCGAAAGTTACTATGGCACAAGTTAGGTACTACACTGAAAAAAGGGTTTGGTATTGACAACCAAACGTTTGGTTGGTATTTAAAAAAATATTAATACTCAATTACTTCACTATTATCAAAGAAATATTTACCTGAACCAAATAATTTCTGAAACTAAATAATTGAAATAACTAAATTTCTGTATTTGAAACAAATATTTAATTATATAAATAATTTATAATAAATAAAAATAATTATTATTAAATAATTATTTAATACAAATAAATATTTATTTGATAGGTCAAATAGCTGATTATTTGAATCAAATAAATTTTTTTTTACCAATTATATTGTTCATAGTAAATAATTAATATTTAAGTCATAATTTTTTTTTTTTTTCGAAAAAATTAAGAAAAAGTAATATTTTTTTTTATTATCATTTTAATATACTCATTAGTTTTCTCTTTGATGTTTTTGATGCAAATCTCAATAAATTAAAGGAGTCTACATAAAATTACTCAACATCTTTAGAAATGGTTAACGGCCACGCTAAATGTATTTATATACATGTTGCATTCATTCGTACCGGTTTTGTTGATTTCAACATATATTAATGATTAATCTTGCTGGACTTAACCTAACTAACGAATAAACTTGTCATCATTTTCATTTGAGAAGAAGAAAAAAAAGAAAAGAAAAAAAAAGCAGATCGATTATCTTGTTCACCAACCGAAAAGTCATGTCATTCATTTTCGGAATTTCCCCAAGAAAATTATTCATGCAAAACTGCATAATTATATTTTAAAAGAATTATTTTTTGAATTTATAAATTTATTATTATTATTATTATTATATTGACAACTATTTAATATTTATTAAATTATTTAAAAATTTATTTATTTAAATAAATTTATTAATAATTTTAATAACATATCTATAATGAATAATTTAATAAATGTCTAAATTAAAAAAAAATTTCTTGATTTTAGAAAATTTCTGTTTTTTATTTAATCAAATATATTGAGGTATTAATTAATGAAATATTATTTAATCATTTTTATTAGGCGATAGACTGGAGAAATTGAATCATTATATTGGTATATTTTATCAATGTCAATGACATGCTCATTTATATATATGATAAAAGCAGACACGATACGTGGGAGGAATGACCGAATCAAGAAAATTGAAGTTTAGTCGATGTCATTGGCATGTTTCAACAACTATATCCAAAATTCTCTCTTTATATTAGTTTTCATATAAATAAAATTAATTTTTAATCTTTTTTTATAAAAATTAATTTTTCATTTTTTTTTTTTTCATTAAAAAAAATTCAAGTTAAAGTTCAAGATAAAAGCAGATCATAGCCAAGGTTTACTTTAATGACATTTTTTTTTTAAAATTAGGCTTATTTTACTTGTTGCTAAACCATAGCGATATAAATTTCCTTTTCATTTAGTCTGTGACAATTATATTCATGTGGATTTTCACTCAGCAAAATTACACAATTTTGCACCTTACAACTGTTGCATAAGAGTTTAGAGTCAACAAGAAGCACTAACATTTTTTATCAAATTAAAATGCAATAAAGAAATTTGCAAATGTATATAAATATGCGTTTCTCTTTATAAATGACATTAAAGGACTAATTATTCAAAAAAAAAGGGGGGAAACAAATTTCTATTAATATTAAAATACAAATTTATATTATTAAATAATAAATTAAATAATAGATTAAATAATAAATTAAATACTAAATTAAATAATTAAATAAATAATTAAATAAATTTTACTTAAATAAAAAAAAATTTTGTTTTAATAATAATAAAAAAGAAAAGAAAGTTTCGTTTATGTAATTTTGAATAAAATTATATCTGGGGGAAATAAAAATATAATTATACAGTTAGAAATGATAACAATGAAATAATTTTAACTTTGCAATAAATATAATACTGTCAATAATAATTAGTATGGAATAGAACCTTGACAATGATTTTCATGGTTAATGCGCTTATCACCGTTATTGTTTAATGATTTCTCCTCTGACCAGACTCTAGTAATTCGCGACGCTTGACATTTGAAAAACGTTTAAGGTATTAAAGCCGCGAGCCTGAAGGTCTTTCTCTGACCCGCAAGTTTGCAAAATAAGAAAATGTAAACATTTATCTCTTTTAATTCATAAATTACTAAATCAAATTTAAATTATTGTTCAAAAATCATTCAAAAAAGAAAGAAAACAAATTTCGATGAATATCATTATTGAAGAAAAAAATCAAATTTTTGAAGAAAAAAAATTATTCTTTCTGATAAATAGAATTATTAATACAAAAAAAAAAAAATAAATAAAAACGGTCAAGAGAACAATGATGAGAAATTGTAAAATCAGATTCATGTATATAGTTTATGTAGTACAAAACTCTCTTTCGTTGTAATCAACAAAACTCGTTTCTCTCGTTACTGCCGTTACACGTACTCAATGTTTTTTTTTTTTTTTTTTTTCGAAAGTTGACATAAACGATAAGATTTCTATATCAGAAATTTACAACAGTATACCCCGACACTAATCATGCACTAATCATCCGAATATTATATCCATTTCTTCAATTAATAAATTATAGAAAAATTTAATGTTACTTTTAATCCACGATGTTATTCATCAACATTTTTCTCTATCAAGTATTTTCTCAATTTATGCGATTTATATATATAAAAATAACAAAATTCTATCTGATAAATCATTAATTTTATCTTTAAAAAAAAAATTTTTTTCTATCCTTTTGCTGCATTTTTTTTTACCCTTATTTTCGTATTAAAAATACAGTTAATTAAAAATAATTATTAACGAAAAAATATAAAGAAGAAAAATAAAAATATCTTCAAATTAATTTAAATAATAATAAACAATATAAATATAATAGTTTTAATAATTTTATAAATAATAATTTTATTATTTATAATATAATTAATAATAATAATAAAATTTATAGAAAAGTATTTATATATGTCGCAGAAAATGGGTCACTGACAAAATTAAATGACATAATGTTGAGATAATCGCGAATTTTATTCTCAAGTAACTTACATAATATCGACGAACGTTTTTTACGAGATGATTAACTGGGTTCATTGGGTTCATTAACTGCTCAGTAAAATCCAATCCTTCATTTATGTAACCCACAACGGCATCAGAGAAAAAGGACTTGCGATGACAGTGAGTTTCTCTATACACGTTCTATAATTTTCACTCAATTTACACATTCAACAAGAAACACTTATTATTATTATTAAAAATAAGAAAAAAAAGAACACTGTTACTTTCTTAAAAATATTTTTTCAAAAATTCAAATTTCCCGCCATTATTTATAATTGATAACTCCCGGCAAATTTTTTTTTTTTTTTTTTTTCAAACACTTTTGAAAAATCAGTGCTGCACTAATCCGAGCAAAAGAAATTTAATTCACTCTTTTTTTATTTAATTATAATTTTTTTTTTTTAAATGAAAATAGTCAAAAGAAATTTTCTATTTTTTTTTTTTTTTTAATCAATGAACACAAGAAGAAGTTCGTGAACGAAGTGATTTCGATGCATGGAAGTAAAGTCGTGGACACGCGGTGGTTCATTCTTTTGCTCGGTTTGCGTGCAGCTCCATTTACTTGAGAATCAACTTTGCGCACTGACGTGAATTATTATTATTATTATTATTATTATTATTATTATTTGTGAAATGTGTCTTAAATTCATCACTGATGCCATAAATTCTTAATTTCCAATTGCAATACACGCACATTTTATGTCCACATCTAGAAATCAACATCTAGAGAAATATTTCCCAGAAAAAAAAAAAATTGAAAAAAATTAATCGAAATTTACAAAAAAAAAAAAAAATAATTTAATTTTAATATAAAACCTATTCCGAAAACGTGCGCGGTTACGCGATCTTGTCCGGTTGTACGGTCGTGAAGAGATAGTGAATTGGCAGTCGTGGACCAACAACAGAGTGGCAGCGGGCAAATCGAGAATACTTACCAAGAGCTCGAGTGGTAGGGAATGGTAAAATGGCAAACGGGAGATATACTATCTACATCATATATATTTTTGAGATAGTCAAGTGTGTTCAATAATATTTCGTAAACAAAAAAAACAAAAAAAAAAAAAAAAATCTCAACGACCCTCAAATACCAATTCTTCTCTTTGTGATTTTTAATAATTTTAAGTATTAACCAAGGATTTCCTTTAAATTGACCTTCGATTTTACATTCGGCGAAAGAGAATAATGAAACAAACTATAAGATCAAACAAAATTTTAAATTTACATATTTTCATCGATTCTTTTTTTTTTTTTTTTTTTTCTTGATTGAAGAATAGATTGTGTATTTAAAAGAAATACCACCCGAGGGCAGGGAATTCCCACACAATTAAAAAAAAAAAAAATGGTAATTTTTAAAAAATTCTCTCACCATAATTGAAATAGACCAAAAAAAATAAATAAAAAAAATAAGTTTCGATAAAAAAAAAATTACGTAAATTAAGGTCATATGAAAAATTACAAATAAATAAAGCGAAGCATTTTTTTTTAAGAAATGGTAAAAAGATTAAAAAAAAAAAAATATTGAATTTTATTGAGAAATTTTTTTAAATAAAATCGCGGAATATTTTAATAAAAAAAAAAAAGTTACGTATAATTCCAGAAAATATTTATGTTTCACAATATTTATAACAATTAAAAGTTTACACAATTTATTATTTTCGATAAATTATTAAAACTGAATTTCCATAGAATGAAAATAAAAACATTATATACAGTGAAAAAAAAGGGTTTGGTATTAACAACCAAACGTTTGGTTGATATTTAAGCAAGCAAAATTTTTTTTTTTTATTGAATCAACAAAATTTTTGTTGTCCCAATTAAACTTTAGTTAGGATAACAAAAATCATTTTTTTCTAATTTTAGTTACGTGAAACAAATTTTGATTGAGACAATTAAAATTTTGTTAATTTAACAAAAAAAAAATTTTGGTTTCTTAAATACCAACCAAACGTTTCGTTATCAATACCAAACACCTTTGTTCAGTGTAAATTACAAAATTTATCACAGTGATCAATTTGAATAAAATCAAAATAATAAAATATTTAAAAAAAAAATTGCATTTTATTAATTTCATTAATAATTTGAAAAATGTATGAATTAACTTTCTATATATATATGTATATAAGCCAGTCATCTTTTGGCTATTTCAAGAGAAAGTAAGACAGCTTAGAATCACGTAATACAAAATAGAAGTCATATAATAACTAAAAAAAAAAAAAAATACAATAAAGTTGAATAAACTCGATAAATTTACAAAAATTTTTGATAACTCTGTACTATGGGAAGCAGTTTTAAAAAAAAATTACAGCATTACGCAAAAATGTTGCATTCTTGAAGGCCATGTGAAAGACACGAGTTTAGATAATTTCTATCCATTTTTTTTTTTTTTTGTCAAACATTTAAATTGTAATGTTCATAGACCGAAAAATAAAAAAAAAATATTACCAAATATTATTCTAATTTAATTTTCTTGTGAAAATTATGAAAGTCACTTCTGAAAATTGTTTTTGCTTATTATAAAAAAATTTGTAAAAAAGCTATTAATTAAAAAATAAAAAAAAAAAAAAAGATCATTTCATATCAGAAATTGAGTAAATATATGCAAAGTTGTTGAGACATGATGAGGTGGTCATTTAAGTATGACTCATTTTAGTTATAAAAGAATAGAGTCCTAAACCAATAAATTAATGCATTCAGAGAAATTTCAAAATGCATCAGAAAAATAAATTTCTTTTCCTTTTTCACTGACGCAAAATCCCAAATTTACAATCAAACTTATTTTTACAAAAAAACTAATATATATAAAGAAGATTAAAACCTGTTTTGAATATATTTGCTTTATTCTTTAACAAATATTTATAGATAAAACAAAAAAAAAAAAATTTTACGTGGAATTAATATCCCTTTAAAGTATTTATTCAAAAATTCCGAAAAAAAATTGTTAACAAAACGAAATTCCATTGAATTTTATTGCTATTTTTTTTGTTTTTTTTTGCTGTTTTAACATGTGTGAAATACTTGGAATACTTTATTATAAATTCAAGTAAAAATAGCAGTAAGTTTAATAATTTTTAAACTTTTCAAATATAACTTGACCCGGAAAACTGTAAACTCACGGCAATAAGAATCAGTCATTAAAGGATAAGAACAAACCACAAAACTGTTGTCCTCAATTAAAACAAGTTGTTCAGAACTTGGAAACTAAATAACGAAACTATTTGATAATGAATCCTGTTTTTTATTTTCCATCAAAATTAAATTTTTTGTAAAATATTTTCTAAACGCTTATACCGTTATAAAAAAGAAAATAATAAATTAGAAAAAAATAAATTGGAACAAAATTTAAAAAAATAATTTTTTCTTCTGAAAATATAAGAGAATTTAATTTTTTAATTCAAGCCTTCTTGGCCCTCATATATATATATATATATATAATGAAACATGACTTTATAAAATGCGAATGTTTGCTCACATTGCGTATAATACAGAATATATGGTGAAAAAAAAAAAAAAAAAAAAAATTTGCCCATTTAATATACACAGCTATATACATTAGGAGCATATATATAAATGCGAAAGCGCAAGGTCCACTAACATCCTGTTGCAAAATTTCTACTTTATGAACAAGACTGAAACCGAATAATACTTGTGTTAAAAGTGCAGGTTTTGATATTGATCAACTATATATGTCTACTATAATAATCTTAATCGACACGCAATCCTAATATCATTTTCTAGGCTTCAAGATTATAATTGTATAAAAAAAAAAAATAATAAACTGCGAATCAAGCTACATTTTATTTCCCTTTCTTCGTTTCACTATAATGCAATGCTTTATTACTTTATCATTTCACAATTACAGAAATTTCACATATTATAAGATTATTGACCTTCATCAACTATTGCTTAAAATTGATTTTTAGAAAAAAAAATTATTTTTTTTTTATATTCCAATAGTCACGGTATATAAAAAATATGTATCTTTTTTTTTAAGCTTTTACAATACATTTGTTAAAAATTTCAAATTATTGTGATTTTTTTAATTAAAATGTTTTAAGAAGAAAAGAAAAAATATTTTTCTTTTAAACGCCTAATTTTTTTATTATATTTTTTTGATTGTATTTATAAAATATAATCTTCAAATTTTCCTAATTAATAGTGAAAAAAAAAAATTTTTAACTATCGAATTAGTAAAATTTAACTAATTCAAATAGTTTTACTAATTTTTACTAATTTAAAAGTTTTTACTAATTTTCACTTTTGAATTTGTTAAATTTTACTAATTCAAAAGCTTTTGCTAATTTTCTCCTTTGAATTAGTTAAATTTTACTAATTTAATAGTAAAAAAAAATGTTCCACTATTAGTTAAATTTTACTAATTCAAATGCTTTTGCTAATTTTTGCCTTTGAATTAGTTAAATTTTACTAATTCAAAAGCTTTTGCTAATTTTTGCCTTTGAATTAGTTAAATTTTACTAATTCAAAAGCTTTTGCTAATTTTTGCCTTTGAATTAGTTAAATTTTACTAATTCAAAAGCTTTTGCTAATTTTTGCCTTTGAATTAGTTAAATTTTACTAATTTAATAGTAAAAAAAAATGTTCCACTATTAGTTAAATTTTACTAATTCAAATGCTTTTGCTAATTTTTGCCTTTGAATTAGTTAAATTTTACTAATTCAAAAGCTTTTGCTAATTTTTGCCTTTGAATTAGTTAAATTTTACTAATTCAAAAGCTTTTGCTAATTTTTGCCTTTGAATTAGTTAAATTTTACTAATTCAAAAGCTTTTGCTAATTTTTGCCTTTGAATTAGTTAAATTTTACTAATTTGATAGTAAAAAAAAAATGTTCCACTATTAGTTAAATTTTACTAATTCAAATGCTTTTGCTAATTTTTGCCTTTGAATTAGTTAAATTTTACTAATTCAAAAGCTTTTGCTAATTTTTGCCTTTGAATTAGTTAAATTTTACTAATTCAAAAGCTTTTGCTAATTTTTGCCTTTGAATTAGTTAAATTTTACTAATTTGATAGTAAAAAAAAAATGTTCCACTATTAGTTAAATTTTACTAATTCAAATGCTTTTGCTAATTTTTGCCTTTGAATTAGTTAAATTTTACTAATTCAAAAGCTTTTGCTAATTTTTGCCTTTGAATTAGTTAAATTTTACTAATTTGATAGTAAAAAAAAAATGTTCCACTATTAGTTAAATTTTACTAATTTGATAGTAAAAAAAAATGTTCCACTATTACTTAAATTTTACTAATTCAAAAGTTTTTACTAATTTTTGCTTTTTAATTAGTTAAATGTTACTAATTCGATAGTAAAACATTTTTTTTCTTCTATTAGTTAAAAATACCGATATGTAATTCAAAACCAAAAAGTAAGTCACTAATTCCTAGTTAAAATTTTTTTACTAAATTCAAATTTAATTTTTCACTAATAACAATTTTTTATTTACAAAATTTCAAACAATATTTTTGAAATTAAATTCAAAATAACTTGAAATGTAAAGGAATTAATCGTTGAGGAATATAATAAAAAAAAAAGACACCAATAAATCTCATCTGAAATTCAAGAAAAAAAAATGTTCTCGTTTTTTGAAGATAATTTAAAAGGAATTTAAAAAATCGCAACTGATAGAAAAACATGGTATGTGCATTTAGTCGCTATATTCAAATTCCCCATCATATAAAAAGTCGAATTAAAACATAAAAAAAAAAAAAATTTTCTCATCAAGTATGAAAAAATAAACTTCACTTACTTTTTTCTTTTATCTTAATGATCCAACTGGTTGTTACACCATTCTATACTATTCACTTTTGCCATGTCAATGATTTTGTCTCTTCAATAATTTCTAATTGTATTTGAAAATACATTTTTTTTTTTTAATTAGAAAATCACTTCCAATTTTCTATGACACTTTTTTATAATATTTATAATCACTTATCACTTTATATATAAAATATATATATTTTTTTTAGATAATTTAAATTTTCTAATGGCACACTAAAACTGTTCTTTTTTTCACTTTGTTTTACACTTTAAATTAACAATAAAAAAAAACTTTATTTATATAAATATTTTTCTCTCTTTTCTGTTCATATCGATAAAAGAGGGTGCGTAAAAATGAAGCGATTCACGCTTCGTTCCTCATATATAACTGATGTCTACGTCATTAGTTGATCAAAAAAAAGATCTCTCACTGACGCGTGAGACCGGTAACACGGCACCTGAACTGTAAATTCATTTTTTGCATCCCTCATATGTAACAAATTCCAATATTTTTTAAAATCATTTTTTATTCTTTATTTTTAATTTCTTTTCATTGCTACAATTTTTTTTTTTACCAAAAATTTACTGACGCGATTGTTTCAAAATATTTAATTTTTCCTTAATTATTAATCACTTGAAAGAAAAATGTGTATAAAAATCAAAATTTTTTTCATTCTCACTAATCTATTAAATTAACATAAAAGGTAAATATTTTCAATCTTTTTTTTTTTTATATTTTGAAGAATATACTATTCAATTATTCAAATATAATTTATTTTTTATTAAACTTCTATTTTTCAAAAGATAAAACATACAAAAAAAATTAACATATCCTAGGAGAAATATATAACAAAAAAAGTGATAATAATAGTAAATGAGTATATTTATTAATGATTAATACTACTCTGATAGCCATGACACTGTCCCTGTTATTTGTCCTCAACTTTTCCTTTTATACAAATCATTGGAAGATTCCCTTATTAAAAATACTATAAAAATATATTTAAAAAAAAAAAAATTTTTTTTTTCAATTTCTGTCCTAAATACTCTTGATTATAAATTTTTATAATAAAGAATCTACAAATATCCTTGATTTATACAAATCCAATAGAAAACTAGTATTGATTCTTATATAAATATTTTTCTTAACAATTTTCCTTATTATTTTCTTATGCTAATCATTTGTTTTTAACATAACTCAATTGAATATTAACAAAAACAATTAGAAATAACAATAAAAATAATTCAATTCAAAATGGGGTGAAAAATATAAGAATTGTAAGAAAAAAAAAAAATTTACACACTCATTGAAAAAGTTAATCATTTCTTTTTTTTTAAATTTTTTAAAATTCTGCAACATTTTTATGAACTCTTAGAAATATGAATAAAAAAGATTCAAAGAGTTTGTAAACGTCAATGTTTGTACTACTATTAGATTAAAGAAAGAGATGAGTAAGAAAAAAAAAACCTTCATTTCAATGGAATGTGTCATTTTTGTATTTAATTACGCAAATTACTACAGTAACTCTTAAAAAATAAAGAATAAACTAAAATGTTATAAAAAAAAAATGAGTTCTTGGGAATAACCATATTATAAAAAGAAGATTCATTTTTAATATCAAAGGTTCTTCCATATTTTTTTTGCAATAAGCGGAATTTCCAGTTAATATAATTTATTAAATACAAAAATTATTTATCTTCAGGTAGATTATATTTAAAACACACGCATTAGGACTTTCAATCATTTATAAAGTGCAGTCATCAGAATAATTATATATATATATATATATTAGTAAATCTGCACAAAAAAATGACGTTCAAAAATTCGACTTAAAATTTTTATTTAAATGATTGATAGCCATCTTTTATATATATATATATTTTTTTTTCGCCCAGACGCTACGCTGCCATTGACTTCAACTTCGTCTATTAATTCGCTTCCCTTTCAAAGAATATATTGTACCTTGTCAATATTTTTCCTTGGATTTGTTGCATACATTAGTGACGTAAATTGAACCGGTATCTTTAAAAAAAAAAAAATGCTTTAAAACAACATTACAAATAAGAAAAAAAAAATGAAAATAATATCAGAATGAATTGAACAATGTATAAATTGACTTAGGATTAATTTTCGTCATTTTACCCTTTGACTGAAGCAAACATTAATCTTTCAAGTTCATGCGCATATAATTTGTTACATATTTATCATATTATTAATATTTAATCGCAAGAGATTTTTACAATTCAAGCGTAGTTTATAATATAATTTACATAAATTTTTAAGTGTTATTTTAGCAATCAATGTTATTTTAAACTCTTTTTAGGAGTTATTTTGTTTGCACAAAGAAATTTTTTTATTTTATTCAAAAATAAAGTCATTTTTCTGCGCAAAAAGGATATTTTGACTATTAAAAAAAAAAAAATTAAGTAAAAAAAAGAAAAAATTAAATTTTACAATTAAAATTAATAAATTGATTTATAAAAAATAATATTCAATTGTCGAATATTAATTTTTTTTTATTAAATCAAGGTAAAAACTTATCAGATCTAATCGTTGCATAATGTGTTTTACTTTTTTTTCCAAAGATAATATTATACTGAAAATTTCCGCGCCTATATAATTTGAAACAAAAATTTTTCCTACAAATGTTCCTGTCATTACAAAAGTTCACGAAGCAAAATAAAATTTCCCTGATAGAGAAAAAAAAACACAACTAAAATCTTTAAATTTATTTTTATTACAGAAACAATTTTCTGAAATAAAAATAAATAATATATACTTTATAAAAAAAAAGGATAACAAAAGGACTTTGAAATATGACAATTATCTAACACACATATAAAATAGGCACTGTCATTCGTTTTGTCTTCATATAATATGAAAAAGCTTATTACGGTCATTTATATTTGCAACGAGCAAAGGTAACTAAGAAGCTCGTTTTGTTTTTCTTTTTTTTTATCAAATGTATTATTTGAATTAAATAGACAAAGCGTTAAGTCAGAATAATCACAATTTTCATTTATGCTAATTAATTATTTATCAGTCTGGTGTCGTGATCTGTTTCAATCAACTCTTTTGCGATACAACTTATATACTATCATCAACAAACTCCTTTTCCCTCTACAATAACAAGTGTTTATATAAAAATTTTATTCTCCTTAATTTATTATTTTATATTACGCAAAATTAAATTAAATATTTATAACAATAAAAAATTATTATATTTAAATTAAATATAATATTATATTATAATAATAAAAAAAAATTATTAATTTTTTTTATAATAATTAACTACCGAAGATAGTTTTTTAATAATTTTTTTTTTTTAAATACAAATTTGATATCTAAATAAAAAACAAAGATCTAAATTTCAAGATTCGGAACTTTTTTTTCATTTTGAAAAAAAAACTATGTTTTATGATACACATAAACGTACTACATATTATTAACAATTATATAAACAATATAACAAAATCTAAAAACAAGATTTCAATTAAAATCATGCCATTGAAAAACAACATGAGCAATTAGTAAATAAATTGTAACGGCAAGTGTACTGGTAATCATTATTGGAAAACCAACTCTGAAAATTGAAAATAAATTTTTTAAATATACAAAATATTATACTTCATTTTACGTTTAAATAATAAATTAAATATTAAATGAAATAAATAAGTGAAATATTAAACAAATTAAATAATTAAAATAAAATAAGATACACCTACTTGAAAAATTGTAAAAATGAAAATTTGTAACCATGTTGTTCGGCAACTCCAGCACACACAACATTTGCAGTTGATCCAATTAATGTACCATTTCCTATACAAAAAAAATTTGATATTCTTTTTTTTTTTGTTTTTTTCTTTAAAATTTGTATAAAAAACAAAAAAAATAATTCACAACCTCCTAAACATGATCCAAATGCTAATGCCCAAACCAATGGTTGTAATGGTAATCCAAGTTGATGATTTTGTGACAAATTTATCACAATTCTCACCATCATTGTACACAATGGTACATTATCAACAAATGCACTGACAATAGCAGATATCCAAAGAATTAAAATTATTGCAATTGCCAATCTCGATTCTTGATCAACAGAAAGAATAATTGCCTCTGTTTGTTTTCCAATCCATATCATTAGTCCCAACTGAGAAAGAGCCTGAAAAAATTTGAAAAACTCATTTTTTTATACATTTAAAAATATTTTATAAATTGTTATATTTTATCAATTTTTTATATTTTATAAATACTTTTTTTCTATAAATACTAAATTCTTATTATACCCACTTCCATGAGAATAAATAATGCCGCAAAAAATAATAATGTACTCCATTCAACACGTGCCATGAGACCATCAAGATTTTCAGAATCAGCTAAAATAAGTAATAAAATTGCCCCAAGTAGTGAAATCCATCCTAATGATAAATTCACATTTGGTAAACTATGTATAAAAAACATAACAATGACAAATGTTAATGCACATCCTGATTTTGCAAGTAGCCATTTATCACGAATAGGATACTGAAATTCAAAAAAAAAAAAAAAAATCATATTTAAAAACAGAAAAAAAATTTTTAAATTCTTAAAATAATAGTAAATTACTTTTTCTTGTAACTCCTCCAATGTTGCTTTATAATTTTCAAATTTTATACTTCCAGTTAATAATTTCAATTTTAATCGCGACAAAAGCCGTCTTACTTTTTTCATCAATGTTTCGCGAACCATATTTTCATCTTTACTATAACTCGAAAGACTTGCTGCCGCTTTTTGCCAAATTGCTATTTCATGTCTTATTTCCTAAAAAATATATATATATATATAAAATTCATAGGAATTTTTGCCATAGTAACTTCTGCCATAGTAACTTTTGCCATAGTAAGTAACTTTAGCCATAGTAACTATTGCCATAGTAACTTATGCCATAGTAACTTGTGCCATAGTAACTGTTGCCATAGTAACTAACTTTTACCATAGTAACTTGTGCCATAGTAACTGTTGCCATAGTAAGTAACTTTAGCCATAGTAACTATTGCCATAGTAACTTATGCCATAGTAACTTGTGCCATAGTAACTGTTGCCATAGTAACTAACTTTTACCATAGTAACTTGTGCCATAGTAACTGTTGCCATAGTAAGTAACTTTAGCCATAGTAACTATTGCCATAGTAAGTAACTGTTGCCATAGTAACTTGTGCCATAGTAACTTTTGCCATAGTAAGTAACTTTAGCCATAGTAACTATTGCCATAGTAAGTAATTGTTGCCATAGTAACTTGTGCCATAGTAACTTGTGCCATAGTAACTGTTGCCATAGTAACTAACTTTTACCATAGTAACTTGTGCCATAGTAACTGTTGCCATAGTAAGTAACTTTAGCCATAGTAACTATTGCCATAGTAAGTAACTGTTGCCATAGTAACTTGTGCCATAGTAACTTTTGCCATAGTAAGTAACTTTAGCCATAGTAACTATTGCCATAGTAAGTAATTGTTGCCATAGTAACTTGTGCCATAGTAACTTTTGCCATAGTAACTAACTTTGGTCATAGGAATTTTTGCCATACACTGAAAGAAGGGTTTGGTATTAACAACCAAACGTTTGGTTGGTATTTAAGCAACAAAAATTTTTTTTGTTGAATCAACCAAATTTTTGGTTGTCCCAATCAAACTTTAGTTAGGACAACAAAAATCCTTTTTTTGCTAATTTTGGTTGTGTCAAACAAATTTTGAGTGAGACAATTAAAATTTTGTTGATTCAACAAAAAAATTTCTGTTGCTTAAATACCAACTAAACGTTTGGTTGTCAATACCAAACCCTTTTTTCAATGTAAGGACTCAAAAAAAAAAATAAAAAAACAGCAGCAACTTTTTCTCACCTGAACTTCTAGAGGTTCATCAAATTTAAAATTAGATACATCACGAAATACATAACGTAATTCAGCATAAACGGCTATTACTGCAAAAACAACGCCAATACTCATATGCATAACAAATGAAATAAAATCAATTCCCTAAAAAAAAAAATTGTTTATAATTAATTTTCTATTATTAATTATTAATTACATTTTTTTCTTATTTAAAACAGTAATAATTATAATAATAATAATAATAATAATAATAATAATAATAATACCCACTGCATTTTGTATTTCTTTATTAGATGCAATAATAATATTTGGAGGATCACCAATTGGTGTTAAGCCACCACCAATATTTGAATAAATTACCATTGCTGTTAAAATTGGAACAGGATTAACTTCCATAACTTCACATAATCTTATTGTCACAGGTGTCATAAGCAAAATAGTTGTCACATTATCCAATACAGTTGATATAACAACTGTAAATAGGCAAAGTATACTGACAAGAGGCCAAATTTGTCCACCAGTTACCTAAAAAAAAAGAAGAAACAATTAATATTAAATTAATTTTCTAATTTAATTTTATCTATTTTAAATTAATTTTATTAATTAATTTTATAATATAATAATTTATTTTTTTTATTATTTATATAATTTTATTAATTTGTCCACCAGTTACCTAAAAAAAAAAGAACAATTAATATTAAATTAATTTTCTAATTTAATTTTACCTGTTTTAAATTAATTTTATTAATTAATTTATTAATTTTTATTACTTTCTTTATTTAATTTAACGATTTAAATTAATTTTAATAATTTTATTTTTTCATTTAATTAAACGATTTAAATTAAAAATTATATTTATTTAAATAATTAAAAAATTTCTTTTTTCATTACATTAACAATTTTTTTTTACCTTGTAAGCATAAACAGACAAATAATCGAATATTCCAGTTTCTCCAATAACAGCTACAAGAATCATCATTGCAAAAAGTAACATTAAAGTGTCCATATCTATCCATGAAATTACTTCCTTCATACTTGGTCTCTATATAATTATACATTAAACTTTAATAGTAATTTTATTCGACTAAATTAATTAATTAACAATCGATATTAATTTATAACGAATTTTTTTTTTCAACTATAATTTATATAATTATTTTATAATTAGGAATCAATTATTTTGTTCATTATTTGTTCTTGTATATTATTAAATAAATTAATATAAAATAAAAAATGAATTCATTTTTTATTGCAAAAGAAAAAAAAGGAAAGTAGTAGTTTTCTAAATATCAGGAGTTTTTAAGTGAAAATATCGTTAACCGCGCGCTATATTCATAAAGTAGTAGCGGACAGTAATAGTGGGACTTAGCATATGTCCCACTTGACTGTCACGCTACTACTGCGCGCGTGACGCGGAATTAGCCCCACTAAAAGATGTTATCTCCTCCAAAAAATCACGAATATTTCAAAAACTATTATTTTAAATTCACTAATTTAAAAAAATCAAAATTTTATTCTTCAAATTTAATAATTTAATTTTTTAATTAATAAATTATTTTCAAAAAAGTAAAAAAAAAATTTTTCTAATTTGCATTTATATACTTGATCTAATGCCGCCAAAACTGCCAATGACATTGTTGATGCCATCATTGCTGCTATTGTTTTATGAACCACCTGATAGTAAAAAAAAAAAGAAAAAATTAATTTACTCTAATTTGTATTAAAAATAAATTTTTTTTTTCCTAATCATACCTCAAATATAATGAGAATATAAAGACCAATTAATATTACAGCAGCGTACACAAATCCATCGTCCTTATTAATAGGTGATAAATTATAACCAATTGAAATTGGTAAATTAATTGGTAAATTTGTTTTCATACACACAGCCACCACATCTCCAAATGATCTTAAAAAAAAAAATAATTATTTATTAATTTATAATTAATTATTAATTCAAAGTAAAATGCATTTTTGACTTATAAAGAAAATCATTACCATATTGTGGCCTTTGGTTTATCAATTATTTTTTTTCCCCCAAAATTTAGGTCAAACTGGTTTTTATTCCCTAAATTTTTTTTTTTTTCAATTCACATTTCACCGCATTGAATATATGGTTCATCAGTACTATAAGGTAAAAGCAATTTATAAATAACCCAATAGTCGACAACCTTAAAATTCTTCACATTTAAAAGTTGTCGACTGGTTATTTATAATTGCTCTTAATTTTTGTTGTCCTAAAGATCTCATATGTTCATGATGAATAAAAAATTTAGGGAATAAAAACTTCTTGACCTTATTAAATATATATATATATATATAAACCTTTATATGGAATACATATTATTTTTAGTATGCCTGTTCTATATTTCAATTATTTAAAAAAAAAAAAATTTGAAAAACAATTAGGTAAACAATTAATTAATAATTACTCGTTAGTCAAATTTTCAAGCACGAATGTATTATGCCGTCTTCTATCGGGTAAATAGTCAATAAGTTCCGAAGGAAATAATGGAAGTATCCATGATTCACTTAAATTCTGAAAGGAAAATTTAAAATAAAAAAAATAAATACAAACTATAATAATAATATAATTAATTATATATAATTATAAAATATATAATAATTAATTATAATTATATTATAATAATAAATACCTGAATGTGTTTAATATTTTCATAAGAAAAATTATTGCTAACATCATTAAAATAGTTGATCTTCTCTATCCAAACGATTAAATAATTTGAAGTAAGATTTATACTCGCATTTGCATTGATTTGTGGCAAAAGTGAACTTTCTATATTAACTGTAATTCTATCACTGATAGGACGTTTTAATATTTTATAATCTACATAAAATTTTTAAGGTAAATTTTCATAAAATATATTTTAATCTTTATAAAATATACTTAATTTATATAAAATTGTTATCCTAATTAAATGTCTATAAAATTATTTTTTTTATAAAAAATACAATAAAAAATAAAATTGAAAATTAAAATAATAAAAATTATATAGCTATTTAGCTATATTAAAATGCGATCAAAAAGGATACTTTGAATTTCATTAATAGGAATGGAAACTTTGTGCATTTCTTCCAACACTTCTTTATTAGTTGTTAAGCTTATCTGTATATCAAAAAAAAAATTATTTTCATTTATCCTAAAATTTAAAAATATTATTTAAAAAAAAATGCAAATACTTACAGTAAAAATAAGCCAACACAATACAAGTAGAATTAATTTTATATAGCGGAAAAAAGGTCTTTCTTTTCCTCCTTTTATTTCAACTTCATCATCCTCGTCATCTAAGCATACATTCTGTTTCCTTTTAATGAAAATTAAAACTCCAATATTAATTAATTTATTATCAATTTATTTAAAATTATTATTAATTTATAATAATTAATTAATTTATAATAATTTATTTGTTTATAATAATTAATTAATTTTGTAATAATTTATTTGTTTATAATAATTAATTAATTTATATTAATTTATTTGTTTATAATTATTATTAATTAATTTGTAATTATTAAATACTTTTAATTATACCAATTAAAAATAAACATACTCTTTTTCAATTGGTCGATCAAAGGACACATTAAGAACTAAACGTTCTCCAGATGGTGTATTTATGGAGCATCTGAAAATCAACTTTCAGTATTATTTTTTTTTTTTTTTTTTATACATTTAAATACATTTGACTTACATTGATTTATCACCTCCATGAAGTTTTTCATATTCTGTTTGAAAAGCTGCTAAACTTGGATCCAATCGAATAGCTTCTGGTAATTGCCTCCATATTTGTACTACATCAACATCATTATGACTTTGAGATAAAGATGATGGATCTTCAAAAATATGATTTTCAATTAAATCATCAAAAATGATAATAAAAATAATTCTTTTTTAATTATTTATAAATAATGACAATAATTCTTCTTTAATTATTAAAATAATAACAATAATTATTTTTATTAATAAATATTATTAATAAATTAATTAAAAATAAATATTATTTTTCATTATTTAAATAATTATTTTATTTATTTATTTTAATAAAAAAAAAAAAAGAAAATTATAGTTTTCTATTAAACCTGTGCTTATGTTGTTGTTTCTACGTCCATTTCTTAAATAAGAAGTTGTTTCAACTCTCTTATCGACTTCAATTATTTCCTCAGGATTTGATATTTCGTTCATAATAACCAATTATTGAAAATTGAATAAACAAAAATACATCAAGCACAATTTAATTATTTATAATTATTATTATTATTAAAATTTTTTTTTTTAATCTATAAAGTATATACTAATTAAATTTGACTATTATGGAAAATTGATTATTACAATACAAGGTCATTCTTTCATACAACGAATTATAGTAAATATTTATATTCAATTTAATTAATTTTCAAATAATTATTTAGTTTCTAATCTATAATTTAATTCATTGAATAGTATTTCACTTTGAAAAATGATGCATTATTTTTGAATAATTGTAAATAGTGGCTATTTGTAAAAATTATTGAATTTATTTATTTTATTTGAAAAATTAATATTACTTTTTTTAAAGAAGAAATGTTATTTTAAAAATTGTATCAACTAAAAGTTTAATTGAAATGTTCGATAACAGAGTTCAATACAGACTAAAAGAAAAAGACCACGCCCTGGCAAGAGATAAAATTAATTATTCAAAATCCTTAATCCTTTCTTAATCTCTTATAAGTATGTTTCATTTTTTATTTTAAATAATAAAATGAATTTTTTTTTTCAATAAATTTTCTTCTATTTCTCGAACTAAGCGTTGATTATAATTATTTTTTATTATTACATTAACACCACATATTTATTTCATAATAAATAGTAACTATTTATATATAATATTACTTATTTAATTCTTCCAATTGTTTTTAAAATTAATTATACATACTATTATTTTATTTCAAAAAAAATATATATATATATAAATACAATCATTAATGAATAAAAAATTACATAAATAAAAAAAAAAGTCATAAATGTTACAATAATTTTAATTAACAAGAGATCAATTATAAATTTTTTACAAAGCACTTTTACTTTGAATTTTTTTATCAAGTGATCAAGTAGACTTTTTTTTTGCACGAAAAATGCAAATATTCAGAGCGGTAGGGGGTGTCGCAATAATTTATTGTTGATATTGTGTCTCATTGATAAATGCTAAGAAAACTCGTATTATACTGACAATGAGAATGACATTAATTTTTTTTTTTTTTTTTTCAATATTAATCTTAAAAAAAAGTCATAAACATCATTCGTTTTGTTAACATTGAATATATGTCTTGTTTTTATCTTTTTCAATTATATGTTATATTGATTTATGTATATGAAAATCAGAGCATTGAAACATAAACTTTGATTATTTTTTTATTTATCACTATTAACTTTTTTGCATTACATATATGTATATAATTTTTTGTTTTTTTTCGAACTTGAAATTTAGTATGAATATTCGTAATTATTTATATATGATAATTTATCTATGGTTGAAAAGCGTCACATAGCATCAAAGTACAAGCTGCAGATTTTCCATCTTCACCGCAAATACATTGATTGCATTCACTGTAGAAAACTTGAGCTGGACAAGGTGTTCCAGGGATATAAAGTGCTGAAAAAAAAATATTGAAAATAAATTATAAAAAAAAAATAAATGTAAAATAAAAAAAAAAATTTTTTTTAATTATAATTACTTACGACCCCATGGTGACGTAGGACTTGGTGGGCAAAGCATTTTGGTACATGCTATTTGAGTTCCATCATCAGAACAAAAGCAGAAATTACATTTTATCATAAATGATGAACCAGGTTCACATTTTCGATTAGCTAAAAATAGAGAAAAAAAACAATTTTAATTACCATTTTTTTTTTTTTTTAATCAAACTCTACTTTTTTTTAAAATAAAAATTTTTCTGAATAATTTACCCTATTAATAATTTTAAAGAAAGCTTTTTTTCACAATAAAATAAAATGTATTTAACTCACCAGAGACAGTGGCAACAGCCAAAACAGTCAAAAGTAAAAAAGCAAAGAATTTCATATTTATTTTTTTATGTTTATTATTACTGACTGTCTTTGAAATCAATTTTGAGTTACAAATGCATCTCGGTTTCCTTATATACTAACTGTAAAGGTCCAATTCCAATTAACAGAAATTCGAAAGAAATCGCTAAGTATCTTAATCTAAGACAATAAATATTTCTTATCTCTTACGTTTTTTCTTTAGAAAAAAACTTTACCTTCTACTAAATTTTAAATATTATTATTTTTTTTTTTTAAATAAAAAGCAAATAATAAAATAATTGTCTTTTATTTAAATATCAAATTATATACAATTTTTTCATAATTTTAAAAATATAAGTCGTGTTTAAAATAATAATTATTTTACTAATTGATATATTTTTGAAAAAAGTTTTTTCTTTTTTAAAAATAATTTTCGAAAGGAAATTTCTTTCCTTTAGTTTTTGAATAAAACAGTATAAAATTTGTATAAAAATGACATTTTTTTGTTTGAAAAATTAATTTACCAGACGGAACATTTTTTCACTGGATTCATTTTAGAACCTAAAGGACATTGAAAATCTTTTGCAAATTCATGACTATTAGAAAGTGAACCTCTAATTCTAAATTCTTCAGGACTATGTTGATCATTAACAATAAGTTCTTTTAAAACTTGTGGCCTATATTTACTGCACCATGTTTGAGCTAATTTAATCCAAAACAATTGTAATGGTGTATAACTAAGTCCTGGTAATTTTTTCTCAGAACCATTTTCTTTAATCCATTTTTGATATGCAACATGCGATACTTTTATTCCTCCATTATCGGCCATATTTTCACCGAGTGATACAATTCCATTTAACTAAAAATTTATAAATCGTTTAAATAAAAAATGCTAATTAAAATTAATTTTTTTTTTTTTCAAAACTTACTTTTTCTCCCACTAAACTATAATTTCCATATTGATAAATTAGACAATTTGTTCTTTCCACAAATTGTTCCTTAGTTTTTTTATCCCACCAATTAATAAAATTTCCATCTTTATCAAATTGATGACCTTGATCTCCAAAACCGTGAGTAATTTCATGACCAACGACAAAACCAAGACTTGCATAATTTATATATTGAGGTCTTTTTTCATTCATAAAAGGATCCTGAAGTATTCCAGCTGGAATATCTGAAAAAATATATTTTAATTAAATATTTGAATTTTATAAAAATTAATCAAATTCATACTTATTTGGTTTTGAAAGAGGCTGTATGTGGGATTTAGTAGAGCAGGTCCTTCAACATTTGGAAATTGAATTTTATCATCTTCCTCAATTTGATAATTGTCAAAATTGATATCTTCATGAATTTGTTTTGGAATAGTTAGATAAGATTGAAGATAATCCCCATCGGATTTTAGTTCCAGTCGTTTATATTTAATTTGCAATGCTTCTAAACTTTGTATTTTATTTTCATCGGCAATTTTCATATTCATTGCTTTTGCTTTTTCTAATGCTTTCTCTTTTGTCGCTTTATCCATCCAATCAAGCTGTATAATAAATATATTAGAGATTAATAAAAATTAATATTATATTAAATATTAATAAAAATAAAAAAAAATGTACCTTTTCAAGCATAACTAGAAATTCTTGATAAACATGATTAACCAAATATTTTGTTGACGATGTGATATTTTGTTCCACAATACTTTCATTAAAATATGTCTGATGATAAACATAAGCAACAATTGGATCTAATAATTCTATTGAATTATCAATGCATTCTTTCCATTTTGCAGTTTTATCGATAATTCCCTGTCTGACAATTTTAAATTTTAATTCTGCTTCTCGAATTACATCAGGTAAATATTTCACAACTGATTCAATTGATCTCCAAAAAATAAAATTAACCAATGTTCTATTATTTGTGCGTTTTATTATATTATTTAGATTTTCCATAAATGCAGGATCGTATATCATGAGAACATCGTCTTCTTTGAATAAAATTTGATTACGAAAAGCCTTTCTGAAATATTCGTTCCAAGGAATATTTTCATACTTTACTTCAATTTCATTCATTGTCATTGGATTGTCATAAAGTGATATGTTTCTTGCATCTTCAGGTGACTTGAAACTCTAAAAAAAAAAAAAAAATCAGACATAAATTTCTGAATAAATTTTTCACTTTAAGCAATATTTACTTTTGCTATTTCAATATGCAATTCCAATAGTTCTCTCATTTCATCCTCAGCATTTGTTTTGTTGGCTCCGAAAATAATAGCAACATCAATCATGTACTGGTAATAGGCTTTAACAAAAGTGTCATTGAAACCCTTTTTTAAAAATGGACTAGATAATCCTAAGGTTGGTTGATCAATCTAGAATTAAAAAAAGGAATTTATTAAATTAAAGTTTCCTTTTCTAATTTTTTTTTTTTTTTTTTTTTTTGCAAAATTACACATACAGAATATAATGGTTGACGAGTGTTTGTAAAATTAACGCCACCAGCAAAACGAAAGAAATAATCTGTTGCAAATCCTTTTTCTATAAATTTACTCAATGTATCAACCCAATTAATATCAGTTGACCATGAATCTCCTTCTACAACGGGCCATCCTCCAAGATCTTTGAAAATTGTTAAAATTGTCCGTAAACCAATTTTTTCAATTTCATCTGAAAAAAAAAATAAAATTTTTAATGAATTAAAAAATTAATTTAATTCTAAAATATTTAACTTTTTAATTATATTTTTATCTTACTTTTGTTCATGCAATTTTTGTAAAAAGTATTAAGAATTGAAAATGGCGATAAATTAGAAGGAAAAATATTATAATCAAATATAATTCTTAATTGTTCACGATATTTATCATCAATGTCATCAAAAACACTAATAATCAATTCATTGTCAGGAATTCGTTTTGTTTTTAAATAATTTCCACATGAAAATCGATAAAAGTCTTCACAAGGATTTACATCAGTGTCTAAATATTCCAGAGTTATAGCAGCTAAAATATAAAATTATATTTCAATTAATGAAAATAATAATATGTTTAATACTTTATATAATTACTATATACAAATTTTCATGTTTATAATTTACTCACCTTCACGAATACATTCAGGTGTAAAGCAAACATCATCTATAAATTAAGAATATATCATTAAATATAAACTTAATTAATAAAAGAAAACACTTATTAGTAAGCAAACAAATAAAAATTTAATATTTACAAATTTTCTCAATTTTACTATTTCAAGTTTTATTTATTTATTAATTTTAAATAAATTTTTGAAAGTAATTTATAAAAAAAAAAATTTTTAATTTATAAAAACTCACCAATTTTTGTGTCACATGTAATATTTGTTGAGCTTAAAAATACAACTGCAAGTATCAATGATAGAAATATTGCAGATCCAATTGTTATTAATAAAACATTTTGAGTAGAATATCGTCGATTTCTGTAAAGATTCAAAAAAAAAATTTTTTTTTATATTTTAAAAATATATCTAAAATTTTGAATTTGTTTTGAAAAATATAATCAATATTGATAAATTCTGATAGCATTATAACAAAAACAATAGAGATTTATTAAATTTGAAGAACTTGAAATATATAACTACAATTTAAATTCAAAATTTTTATTTAATTTTTGTTTCATGTTATAATAAATTATAATTTGTTTATTAAAATTATTATAAATTATAAATTTCAGATATTCATTTAACATGGCTTTTTGCTTTATATAAATATTTTATTTTCATATTTACTATTTTTTATTGTTCATTACTTTATAATATTTTTTTTTTTTTTTTTTGGAAAATAATTTAAACAAATGAATAATAAAAATTTGAAGAAAAACTTACCGGACCGTTCCACCATAGGCGAGACGTCCTTCCGGAGAATCATCCATATTCATATCCATTTCGTCTAAGAGTGAAGTGTGACAACGAGATTTATGAATTTTAAATACTCATCATCTAATTCGTACATTTTCGCCTATTTTCGAATTGTAATCGTACTTTCTATTTAAATTGAGCAAATCGTATAGATTATCACCTATCTACTTAAAAGAAAGTTACATTTATTTTTTTATATAATAAAAAATAGAAGAATTTTAAAAAATATTAATTTTTCCATCATATAATTTATTGAATAAAGTAAATTTAATAAATTATTATGATAAATACTGTTATAAAATGATCCAGAATTTTTTTTTCAAATATTCTTATTTTGATTTACTGGTTAGGGATAAAAATAAGTAGAAATCATTTATTATATATAGATGCATATTTTATTTTGTAAACAAATTTCCTAATTTGTACAAACTAAAATTCTTAAAATATAATTAAAATTATTTTATTATAAAATACAATTAAGGTGTGATCAAATTTTCAAGGTATTTTCAAATTCTATAATCCCATCAGTTTCCTTGTACAATTTGCAGTTGCAGGACTCTCTGAATTTATTAAAATTGAGCTGAAAATAATAAATTACAAAATTAATAAACATTTATGTGTAAAAATTAAAATATTTACTAATCAAGTAGAAATAAAGTTCAAATACTCGAAAATAGTTTGAGAACTTGACTTTCAAACTATGTTGCAATACAATTTGTCAAAACTCTTTGATTTTTTTTTTTTTTTTTTTTTTAACTGTTTACACATAATTAATATTTAACAGTAATAATGTATTAAATTGAAAAAAAAGTTTAAATATATTTGTTGCTTACTTAGATTTCTCTTGAATGATGAATCCTTTTAAAGTTTAATATTCTAAGTTTGAGAAAATTGATTCCATAATTTCGATTAATTAATAAATCCTTTCTTTTGAGAGATTCCTTATTGTTTCTGTAATATAAATTATTGATCAATTTATCAGCTAAGTATAATAATATATATTTTATAAAAAAATTTTGGAATAAAATTAAACTTACAGTTAAGAAACACTTCAGTAGATTCCGATGAAAAATTTACATAACAAATATTTCTTTCTTTCTCATCAGTAATAATAGGAAAAAGTAATTTTTAACGAGGAAAATGAAAAAAGTTTGAAAATAACATCTTCAAACTTTTTACAAAAATTACAGAAGTGCGTGAAAAAAAAAATTGTAAAAATAAGACAATTTTTAAGAATCACGCTTTTAAGAGCAGTAATGAAGTAAATGAGATTACATTAAATTAAATATTAGTGAAATAGTTTTATTAGGAAAGTGAATAATGATAACAAACAAAAAAATGTCTGCTTGTTAGACAATTAAAAATCTTGGATGATGGTCCATTGAAGAAGATTTATGGCCAATTAATATTAATTGGATTGATACATTGAGTAAATGTATAGAAAAAGGATTTGCAACAGATTATCTCTTTCGTTGAAACAAATATTTCAAAAAGGTTTTTCCTAATCAAATTTCAATCAAAGAAAACGATATCCTCATGATGTACGATCCATCATTTATGGAAAATCTGAACAATACAATAAAACACCAGTTAATTTTATTTTTTGGAGATCAATTGAATCAGCCGTGAAATATTTGCTTGATGCAATTCAAGAAGCAGAATTAAAATTTAAAATTGTCAAACAGGGAATTATGGATAAAACTTCAAAATAAAAAGAATGCATTGATAATTCAATTAGAATTATTAAATCCAATTGTTGCTTATGTTTATCATCAAACATATTTTAATGAAATTATTTTGGAACAAAATATCAAATCGTCAACAAAGAATTTGATTAATTATATTTATCAAGAATTTCCAGAAGATGTAAAGAAGATTGAGAATGAAATTAATTATGAAACTTATTAGAGAACTTCATTTCTCATATGAAAGATGATGTAATCATCATCATGAAGTGATGATATTTAAAATATTTGGGGAAATCCATTTGTTATTTGAGTAATGAAGAAGTGAAAAACCAAAAAAGTCCTGAAAAACAAAAAATTATAAATTGAAATTTGTTATATGAATGTATATATTTAAAAATGATTTTTTTTTCTATTATATTTTTCATACCTTTATGATTCATCCTGAGTTTTGTAGTTTCGTCGATTTTAATTTTTTTTTTTTATTCTCGATTCAGACACATTTTGAGGTTTATTTTTCATGTTGACTTAAAAACAACGTACTATTAAAAAACTTGTCTTCTGTAACTTAAAATTTGAAAACTAAATTCACCATCTTAAGCAACTGAGAAACAACCAAGAACTGTTAATTTTTCTTTTTTCTCCCCTTCTTAAATAGTGAGACTGCATTCAGATTTATGTGGAGGCAACATGGGGGATGAAAAGTGGGGATGAATAGTTCATCCCCACTGAAAAATTTGGTAAAGAAAAGCCTAGAATATTAGACAATTATTGTATTGGGTAATTCCCAAAAATCTGGTTGGTTGAAATCTCTCATTATCCTTTTTTTTCACCGGGAGTTAAGTGTCATTAAAGATCATTAAAACTGCATTATCCTATTCAATTTTTAAAACCATATTATTATAAAGAAACACCCTGGTATTAAAAACATATTATTTTCCTGTTTACAAAATTTTTAAAATTATCTTCATTAAAATAATATTTAATCTATTGTTAATAATATAGTAATTATCAGTCTTCGACGGGTTAAGTAATTATAATTTTATTATTAAGTTAATTAGCAACTCTAAAAACAACAAAAATTAACAAGTATGAAATTATGTTTCATTTTCAAAGGTACTATTTTATCATAATAAAATGTAAATAACATTTTTTTTATAGAAAAACATATCTTTAATATTTACAAATAATTATTTATATCGTTGGAAACTAAAATTTAACAAATTTTTATAGAAGATTATTTCAAAGAAGTGCAAACTTTATTTTAAATAAAACATTCAATCACGAAATATCTTTTTTTTTATCGAAGAATTCTTCCCTGCCGATGTTTGACTTTGAATTTGATAAATTTTATTTATAATATAGTGCGTAGTCAAATTTATGTAATAATATTTATCTTAAAACATGACTTTTAATTTCTTTCATGGAAGCATTAACATTCACATCAATCAAAATACCTCTACTTTTGGCATCAGTGATCAATTCGTTCCACATCTCATCTTTCTATGAAACAAAAATATTAAAATTAAATTAAAATTGAATTTAAATTAAACTTAATTTTGATATTTTTTAGGGTAAAAATTTTAATAGTATATTTTCTTAATATTTTTTCATTATAATCTATCCTAAAATTAATAAAATCACATTGTCTTTTATCTAAGACTATGAAACTACGACAATAAGATCAAGGGAATTAGACTATTAGAATTTTTCAAAAAAAAAAAAAAAAAAATACAAACCCTGTAATGGCTTTGTATGAATTATAATGAACTAAACCCTAATAAAAGTAAAAAAAAAAAATTATACTCCAATACCTGAAATGTTTTGAAGTTACCGCATAATATAAGACTCGATTTAGCTCTTGTTAAAGCAACACAAAGTCTTTGTCTGTCAGACATGAAGCCAATGCCATTACTTCTGACACATGACATTACGATTACATCTTTTTCCTGACCTTGAAAGCTATCGACAGTATTAACGTCAATTAAAAATTTACTTCTTCTATTTGATGAAACGGTTTTCAAACTGAAACAAATTAAAAATTTTTTAACTTTCTTGTCATTAAAAGTTTTTTTTTTTATATAATTTATTTTACTCACAGTGTGTCTATTTTCGATAATACAACATTTCTCTGATTTTGATAAGGTGTTATAACGCCAATTTGTAAAGTATCTTTAAATGAATACACATCAACGGATGTTATCATAATATAAATAACTTTCGATACAAATTCAGCTTCATCTGTATTGGCAAATTTATTTTCATCTTGAAGTGAATTTAAATTTAAAACCCTATATGAACTATATGGAACTGTTTTAACATTAGCCTTATCTATTAATTTTCCTTGATAGAAATAGGAATTGGGCCACGACAATATTGGATAGTCCATTCTATATTGCATATTAAGCATTATTATAGGATTTTCTTCTCCATAATTTTCAAAGGTTTTTTGAATTCGAGAAAATAAAGATTGATCCAGTCCCATTTCTTTGGCTTTCTAGAAGAAAATTTTCAATTTTTTATCTCATATTGTCAAATGAAAAAAAAAAAGAAATAAACTTACTTTTGAAATTATTGTTGCTGGCAGCTGATTAGTATCTCCAACTAAAATCAATTTCTTTACGCCCAACATCAATGGGATTAAATTCTCAGGTTCAGAGCATTGTGTCGCTTCATCAACAATACAAATTGGAATTTTTATTTTATCCTTTCCACTAAAGAAATTAAAATAATATACACTTGAATTTACTAAATAATTTCTGGATAATTCTAAATAATTCTAAAAGTAGTAGATTTTGCAATTTACCCAAATATTTTCTCCATTATTCCAGAATAACAATATGATAAGGTGCATGCAATTACTGTTGCTTTTGACAATACTAATTCTTCCATTTCCCGATTTATTTTATTTCTTTCAATTTGAGTAAGAGTTTTAAAATCCACACGTTGATCAATTTTGGCTTTGAATGTTTTAATATTATTTTGAAAATTTTGTCGTTGTCGATACAATTGACTGAGATCCCCTTTAACACCATTTCTCTTTATATTTTCTATTCTTTCCTCAACTAAATTTAACAATGACTCTAATTTCCTCATCTGTAAAATAATATATATATATATTAAAGTCCATGTTTTACATATTTATTTATTTTTCAATTCTTTACCTCTGCATCATTTTCCTTTCTCGTTTTTTGTTCATTTTTATTTAAACAAAAATCCTTTTCAACATGTTTTCTACCTAATTCCGCTAGAGAAATATTTTTAACTTTTGAATTCATTGCTTCTGTACGACCAACTCTCACCATTTTGATATTTTTGACTATAAAATAAAAAAGAATATTTAATTTTACAATTTATAAATTAAAAAAATATATATATTATTCGTATACATACATTCAAGATTTGATCTAATCTGCGAAAGTCGAAGAGCCAATTCATCTACTGCTGCATTTGATGGTGCACAAACTAATATTTGTGCATTTGGATTTTTAAATAAAATCTGTATAACTATATTTACAATGACTTTAGATTTGCCAGTTCCCGGTGGACCATGAATAAGAGAAATTAGTGGCTTTTCAGTTAAAGCTGCTTCCGATATTCTCATCACAGCTTCAATTTGTCTTTCATTTAGATCCTCCTTTAAAAACAAAAATTCAAAACAAAATAATCGTAAAGTAAATTCATAAAAAAAATATATAATAAACTACCTTTGACACAAGTGGAGTCTGTTGCGGTTCGGGAAGTATATAATCTTTTAATTTAGGTGACAAAATTAATGGTTCTAAATTTGAATTTGGAAGATTTTGTAAAGCTAAAATATCTCGCATATTTGATTTTAAATACATTGCACCACGTATTCTACAAACATGATCTGTCACTGGTTCAATACCATTTTTGGCCAATACACACAAAGTTACTAAAATTTCCGAGTTTGGTGTAAATTCAACTGCAAAATATAAATAATTAATTAATTAATTTATAACTTTCAAAATTTCGATCTATTTTATATTCTTCTAATATGCTTACTCAGCTTTTTGTTAAATCGCGTATTGGGCTTTATTTCCGTATTTGTTTTACTTTTAACATATGCAAAAATTGAATGAAACTGCAACTTTTTCGTTAAACTTCCATTTTTATCTGTTTCTTGTTTATAAAATGGAAGTTCAAATATTAATAAATGTCCAGGTCCAGGATAAAGTTCCTTATCAAAATCTTCTTTGCTCATCAATATTTCTATTAATAAATTTGTTTGATAGTCACCCATAAATGTTTTCATTTTTGATACTGAATTCTGAACCACAGAACAATAATGTAGTCGAAATCTATAGGAAAAAATAAACGAAACAATAAAAAAAAAAAAATCTTTTAATACAAAATTTAAAAAAAAGACGTAATCTTACTTGCTCTTTTTTTCATCACACTCGCTTTCTCTACTTAAACTATTCCATATTTCCAATAAAAGAAGAGGTCTAAAAACATTTGAATATTCCATGAATGAAGAATAATGAGTTTGTATTTTAGACAAATGATGCCTGCCATAGACAGGTGGCTCATGTGCCAGCTTCTTTTGTTCCTGTTGATGTAATATATTAATTAATAATTTTATATTTAATATAATCAGAAACAAAAAATTTGTATACATACACCTAACCATACTGGATTCCATTCAAATATTCGTGATAAATATTCATCAATTTTTGGCTCAATTTGTGACTTTTTTCGATTTATTGGAGCATCCTTTCCAACGAATCGACTTAGAGAATTTCTTGGATCTATTTCAAAGATACGAGTATCAATTTTTTCAGAGAAACGTACTTTTTTCTTTTTCTTAACTATGTTATCACTAAATAAAGGAAGACAACTTTTTAATGAATTTCTATTGACTTTTTTCTCTTCTATTGATTTCAAAGGAACTTGATTTTGATTTAAATTAACGCTAATAAAGAGCTCTTCTTGTTGACGTTTATTATTATTATCTTTCTCAAATATATCATTTGATTTGTTTTCTAATATTGGACGTTTTTCTTCTCTTTTATTAAATGAATTTTTATCAATTTGAATTTCTTTTGATTCTGGACTGAATTTTGAACAATGTGCAACTGGTGATGAACTTTTTTTTCTTTCGCGTGCAATTACTGGTTTTATTAAAGTTGCTTTTTGCTGTTCACATACAAATGAATCTTGTCGTGATTTATGTGTAATTTTAGCAATTCCCTTAGACTTTCGAACAGGAACAATATTTGAATTAGATTCACAAAGTGATCGCTTTGCTGCAAGTTCTTTTAATTTCTCCTTTATTCTCTCCTTATTGTTCATTGAATTAGCCTTATTTCTTTCTTCAAAAATATTTTCTTGAGATTTTCTATTTCTCGATCTACTTCGTATTCGTGGTGATGCTACTTTTGAGAATTCATTTTCGGATTCTTCTTTTTTCTCATTAGAATTATTATTATCTCTTGAAACTGTTAAATTAATGCCACGTTTTTCACTTTTTGTCATATAAGGTGCATCAATTACTATTGCCTTTCTAATAGGTTGTTTAATTGTCGCTTTAACTGACATTCCTTTTTCTTCTATATTCGTTAATGCCTCATCCCAGTTCTTTTTCTTTTTTTCTTGATTTCCAAAAAGTTCTGATAATTTTTTTATTCTTCGATCCATCGATGAACTTTTTCTTTCATCTACATAATGTCTCGAGCTTTCATGATTTATTTTTCGATCCTCTGATACACTTCGTTGTTTACTATCATCTATAGAATCTTTCAAACTCTCTTGATGAATAGTTTTTCTTTTTTCTTGATTATTATTTCCATTTTCAAAATATTCAGATAATTTTTTTCCTTTTCGATCTTCCGATATACTTCGTCGTTGTCTTTCATCTATAGAAAGTCTCTCTTGATCAATTGATTTTCTTCTTTCATGATTATTTTTTCGACTTTCAAAATGATCATAAGATTTTTTTATTTTTCGATCCTCTGATGTACTTCTTCTTTTTCTTTCATCTATAGAATGTCTCTTTTTATCAACAGTTTTTCGTCTTTCTTGATCATTTTTACGATTTTCAAAATATTCAGAAGATTTTTTTAATTTTCTATCTTCCGATGTGTTTCTCTTTCTTTCATCTATAGAAGATCGCTCTTGATCAACAGTTTTTCGTCTTTCTTGATCATTTTTTCGCTTTTCAAAGTATTCAGAAGATTTTTTTATTTTTCGATCTTCCGATGTATTTCTCTTTCTTTCATCTATAGAATATTTCTCTTGATCAAAGATTTTTCGTCGTTCTAGATTATTTTTTAAATTATCCTTTTTCTCTGTAGAACTGATTTTTGAATGTTTTCTCTCATCAATGGATCTTTCACTATCGTCACTGGAGCTTTTTCTTCTTTTCTTATACTTTTCATCTCTAGAATCCTTTCGTCTCTCAGTCTCTTGATATTCCTTCTCTCTGTGTGAAATGGATTTTTTCTCTTTTTGTAAATTTTCATCTTCTTTCTCTTTTTCTCGTCTATTTTTATATTTTAAACTAGAAATATCGAGTAAAGAATTTATGTCAGCCTCAACATCTAAAAATTCATCTTCATTATAAATTTTCTCATTCTTCTGCGATTTTTCTGTATCATATTTAGATAAAGATTTTCTATTATCAATTTGTTCAGTAACTATCTTATTTTCAGCCTCTTGTGATGCTGTTTGTTGTGATTGAATTGATTCATCCCATACATCGTCATCCTGTTCCTGAAATTGTTAAAAATAAAAAATCTTATTACAATGTTAATGATCAATATTATTTTTAAAAAAAAATGAAAACATACTTCTATTTCAAGAATTTTGTTCTCCTGTAAAAATTCCAATTCCGATTTATATTGATTTTTCTCTTCATATTTCGAAAAAAGTGATTCAAGTCCATCTTCATTTGTTTTTTCATTTTTATTATCAGATTTATTTTTAATTTCTTGACTAGGTCTATATACCTGACTATTATAAAGTTTATCAAACCAAGGATTATAAATTTCGTCGTCAGAGTCTGAAAGTATAATCACATCTTTATCATCATGTGATTCATTAATTTCATTTTCTTCCATTTTTATTTCACTTTTAATCACTGGCTCATCATTGAAAAGTTGAGAACAAGGAAAAATACAACGTTCATCGTCCTCATCATCGGAACTTAAACAAACAATATCATTCTGTGAATAACAAGTTGTTGGTCCTTTTTTAACAGTCTTTAATTTGACTAGTTTTGAAGTGGAAATCTGCTGATTTTGTGGTTGTTTTACTGGAACATTCGAAGTATTAGGAGTAATGTTATTTTCTTCAGCGTCTAAAAATACCACATCTTCTTCAACTTCTTCCATTTTTATTGAGGTAATCATTTTATCACTAGATGTACTTGGTGAGACTAGTTTATCACAATTTTTATATTGATAACTATTGGATGATGTTTGAAAACTGTCTTTACTCCTATTTGGTACAAATATATCAGTCATCTTTCTCTTTTTATTATTTTTCAAAATTAATTCTTGTTCATTTTTATTTACAACAGAGTCTTGTACATGTTGTTTACTGGGATTTTTTTCTTGATTATGTTTCAAATGTGGACTGTGTTTTACTGTTGCATTAAGATCCTTATTAACTGTAATGTTTTTCTTTAAAAAATCAACGTCCAATGCTTTATCACGACTTATTTTTTCGATATTGGTAATATTACTTTTCGTTTTAGATTTAATATTTTCTGCTGGTTTCCAATTTTTTTTAGTTGCTAATTCTTTATTATCATTGGCATGTACAATAACGTTAACTATTTCTATCTCATCTTCTGCTTCCAACTTTATTGAATTTATTCTAACAGAATCAACATTTGCAGAACTGGTACTTGGTAATGGATCTAAAATCAAAAACAATTATTAAAAAAAAATTAAACTATATTCTATTTAAAACTATTATCAATTATTTTATACATGCTCTAAAACATTGTTAAATTTATTTATTTATTTTAAAATTGAATAGTATAAAAAAATAATATATTCATAATAATAATAATACAATAAACAATAAAAAAATACATAAAAATTTGGATAATTTTAAACGCAAATTCATTTTTAAAAAAAACCTACACAATCTCATTTTAGTTTTGTTTTGAATTTAATCTTTCTCACACTTGTTATTAAAGTATCACGTTGCGTAATGAGATATTAAGATAAATTAATTTTACAGATAACTTTATATCAACAAATTTTAAGATTACCACACAAGTAGTTTTTTAAAATTAAACTTAACTTTTTACTATTTTTAATTAAAAGAAATAAGTTCAACAATTAGTAATCAAGAAATTTATGTTTAAAATTATTTGTTTCATCATAGAAAATTGAAAACATTATTAGAATCTTAAAAAAAAAAAAATAGGCAACAATGGCTCTGGATGTAATTTAATGGACTAATCCAAAAAAACAACACTATTACATTTCATAGCAATTTATTTAAATTGTCATGAATCTTCATCATTAAATCTACTGTAACTAAGGTATTACCAGAAGTACCTTCTCCATGTTCTTCATTGGTCTTTTGTTTTTTCGATGCATTACCCTCTTTATCTTCAGATGGTCGCTTCTTATTAACATCTTTCTCATCACTTTCCTCTGGTTCCGTTTTAATTTCCACCTGATTAGAAGAACCACTCGCAGCAGCATCCGCATTATTTATATCAAAATTTTCCACCTGTTAAATTTATTTTAACTTAAAAGATATTCTAAAATTTTAATTTTAATAAACATAAAACCTATATTAAATCATCTACATAATTATTTATATATTTTAAAATAGTAAAAGAATAAAATTTAAATATCTTTTTTTTTTTTTTTTTGAATGAAAATATAATTTAAAAATAATATACTTCATTTATATATAGTGAATAGACGTAATAATTGTTCTCATGTGGATCCTGTTCAGGTACACCAATCCCAATTTTGTCATTTTGTTTTAATAATGTGTTTGTAATTTTTTTATCGCCATTAACGTAAACCCCATTTGAGCTCTAAAATTTATTTAAAAATAATTTATTAGATTTAGGATTTGAAGAAAAAATCTTTCCAAATATATATATATATATATATATATATATATATATATGACTGTGACGATTTAAAGTAATAAAAATCTATTTTTATACATACATTCAAATCTCGTATGTATAGCCCATCTGATTGGATAATAAAGATACAGTGATTCCTTGAAACAAACATACTGGGACAAATGATTTGATTTTCTCTTCCTCTGCCACATGTATACTGCAAATGATTCTTTCATTATGTGTTCTATTTAATAACTTTTTTTTTATTTAAATACAAAATGTAGCAAAACCATTTCCATTCATTATTAAACATATAAAAGCATCAATTTCTCAAGTTACAATGAAGAATTTGCTGACCCATGCATTATAATTTATATACACTATGAAAAATGTAAAAAAAAAAAAAAAAACAATCAACTACATGATTATTACTTTAAAATACAAATTTTAGATTTTTAAACAATTTTTATAATATTTTATTTTGCCATATACCAAAAAAAAAAAAAAACAAAAAACACGTGCACATATAAATAATAAAAACATATATAAATGTAATAATTAAAATTTACCGAAACATCACTATTGTTAAGAAAAACCCTTTGATCAGAATTAATACGTTGAAGTATGTAATTAACAACCATGATTATAATGTTGTAGTTTACTCTTTAAATTCCTTTCTCTAATGCCCTCAATAATAATTAAATTCAAAATCAATTGATTCGCCTTTCTTTGTCTCCAAATCACTATAAGTTGACATAAGTCATTTTTAATTTCACTCAAATATTTTCTGAATTGAATACAATTATCCTTCTTTCTCTTCTTCTAAAATCCATAGTACCACAATACACTAATTCAAAAAAGAGTTTTTATATTCCTATAAAAAAAAAGATATAGTCAATAAGTATTTAAACCTTAATACTCATGTGATTAATTTAGCGGTTAAGTTTTCAAATTCATTTACATAAACGCGTAAAATACTTTACTAAACATTATTTAAAGTTTTTACAAAAAACAATATTAACCAAACTTTATTATAGACAATACTACTATTACCAATCAACAAAAATTGTATGTGATACTTTTTTTTTATTAATGATTCATAGTTTGCCTTACAGGGCTGTGAAACAATCTAACAACTTGTTGATTTAAAGGTACAGTCACACCACACAAAAGCAGAGATGAGAAACTAATTCAGAGAAAAATGAAACAAATTCGGGCCCATCCCTGGCAAACGTAACCTAAACTTAGCAGACAACAAACAATTTTTCAAAAAGTTTATTATGGAGTTTTGTTGTTAAAATATTAAAGTTTTAAATAACATAATAATGAATTCATAAATTCTAACTTAAAATACTTAATTTTTATATTTCCTTCACTGTAAAAAAATATAGTCCTGATACAAAAAAACTACAACAATTGAAACTACATTCTTCATTTTTGTTACAATCACAGACAGGAATAATAAAATTTGATAAATGAAAAAGTAATGATTTTAATTGACAAAAATGGCTGGAAACTTTTGGCAGAGTTCGCACCAGTAAGTTTAATATAAAAAAAAGTTATAAATTTTTGTGCAATAGTAATTATCATTTTTCATGATGTCCATTTTTAAACTTTTATATTTACTTTAAACTGTATTTCATATGTTTTAATTAAAAATTTAATAATTCTTATTTCAGTCAACAATGGTTATTGGATAAACAAGATTTAGTACGAGAGCGTCAACATGATCTTTCAATATTATCAGAAGAGGAATATCAAAAATTATTTATATTTTTTGCAAATTGTAAGATAAATTTTCTTTCTATTAAGTGATAACTTAAAAATTTAGTTTAAAATACACATTATCAAAATTCAACTTGCGATATTATTTTTCAGTGATTCAAGTTTTAGGAGAACAACTAAAATTAAGACAGCAAGTTATTGCAACCGCTACAGTATATTTTAAAAGATTTTACGCAAGAAACAGTTTAAAATGTATTGATCCATTACTTTTAGCTCCAACTTCAGTTTTTTTGGCTTCAAAAGTAGAAGAATTTGGTGTTATTTCAAATAGTAGATTAATTACCACCTGTCAGACTGTTGGTAAGTGATATATAGATTAACAAAAATTTTTCTTTTTCTTTTTTATATATTATAAAAATTATAATCGACTTTTTTTTTATATTTTAGTGAAAAACAAATTTAACTATGCTTACTCGCAAGAATTTCCATACAGGACGAATCATATTTTAGAATGTGAATTTTATTTACTGGAACATTTAGACTGTTGTTTGATTGTATATCAACCATATCGTCCTTTATTAACTTTGATACAAGATGTTGGTCCAGATGAGCAATTATTAACTCTTGCATGGCGAATTATAAATGATAGTTTGCGAACTGACGTTTGTCTTCTCTATCCTCCTTATCAAATTGCAATAGGTAAAGTAACTTTTATTAAACATTTCTACCTTTAAAAAAATAAGTTATTTACTTATTATTAAAATTACAGGTTGCTTACAAATTGCTTGTGTCATATTACAAAAAGACTTGAAAACATGGTTCGCTGAATTAAATGCCGATATGGAAAAAATTCAAGAAATTGCCCGCTATATAATTAATCTCTATGAATTGTGGAAAACATATGACGAAAAGAAAGAAATACAGGCTTTATTGAATAAAATGCCAAAACCAAAGGCTGCACCACAACGTTGACAAAACACCACATTCATTATTATTGACTTTAAGACTAATTAAGTGGTCTGATTTTTTTTTTTTATAACTTAATTACATTTTAAAATAAAAGAAATTTTCAATTTTATTTACATTTGTTTATTAGTTTCATTTTTTTCGTAATTTCACCAATATAATTATTAAATTTTTTTTTTAATTTATTTACAATTACATCGTATAAATTAAAAAAGAAAAGTAGGTAAAAAAGAACTATATTTACAGAACTTGGATTTTCTATCAGCTTGCACCTTTCATGTATCTTTTCCAAAATTTTTTAACGTCATCATGACCAGTTTTATTAACAACCATCGTTCTCTTCCTGCAAAAATAAACATTAAAATCCAATTTTTTTTTTTCAGAAATTTATCATATCGCAAAATACCTTTCACTTTGCCAAATTAAAACTCCATTTGAAAGTGCATGATCTCTTAATACTTCAAAATCAGCTTGGGAATGAAATTGAGAGTACAAAACACCCTCGGTAAACATAAATTTATTTCTTTCATTTTCCCAAAGTTTTATTTGATCTACCACAGTTGGAGGTAAAGTTGGTGGGCCATCCTTTATCATTTGACTATGTGCATGTTGTTGAAGATAGCTATAAAAATAAAATTTATTTATTAAAAAAAAAACAAAACAAAACAACAATATTTTTTTAATCTTACTTAATTATTTGTGCAGCAGTTATTCCACTTTTTAAAGCTTGCCGAACTGAATCTCTCGTTAATAGTGATACAACTAAATTGGAAAACCTATTAAAATAAAATAATATTTCAATAAAAATAATTATATCCAGATAAACATAATTTTTGAAATTCTCTAAATTACCGGCAAATCATCTTGCAGAAAAGTCCAAGTAGAGCAACATGTAAATTTGAATTAGTATAAGCACAAACTCCAAAATGAGTGTCGATCACAATATAACGTTCTTTTTCTAAATCTCTAGATAAAGGATTATTTTGCCCAGTTGCTATATTCAGTGCAAGACGTGTTGGATAGAATCTAAAAAATCGTGTAAAATCTATTTTAAAAGAAACTATTCTAAATATTCTGAAAAAAAACAAATATTTATTTACTCACCTTCCAGCCTTTCGCTTACGTTGATATACAAGTCCAAATTCTCTCAAATGTTGCAAGAAAGTTAATAAACCTTCAGACATACCTCTGGTACTATAATCTTTACCAAGTGTTGAAAAACTTAATTGAAACAAAAAAGTTAAACATTCCACCAAATTAAGTCCTCTACCTTCTATTGTGTCTAAATATTGAAGAATAAAATACCACACCTAAAATAAATATAAAATTATCAAAAAAAAAGAAACATTTTAAAAATATTTTACAAAATATTACCTGAGCAGCGGTATCTAACAATAAAAATTGAAATCCTCCTTGTGTAATTACTGGACTTCCATCTTCCTCATCACATTTCATAAGTTTAGCATGAAGTAATATACGAACAGCATCTGCTGATATACCCTCTTGTTGTTGTGATCCAACCATATAATGCAAAACACATTCCCATCTTTCTAAAGCATAAGAATCAAGAAAAGCAATGTCTCTTGGTTTACTATCAGTATCCAATTGATTTGACATTGTCCATGGTTTTCCTCCACCAAGTAATACAATTTTTAAATTTGTCTGAAATATTTTATTCAATGTCCATCCAGGTAAACCACCAGATATTGAGACCTCAGTCCAAACATTTAATTCTGTTAATGAATGAGCAACTTTTGAATGATCTTCAGCGTGTAACTTTGAACACCATGATGTAATAACTGCTTGTGGTACTGGTCTTTCAACAAAAAGCAATCTCATAATATAATGTCTTGCTATTATTGGTAATTCACGAAATACAGCAAGACAAATTGGTGGATTATGATAAAGTCTATCTAATACTTCAGGTGTTTGAGCTTTTAAATATTCATGAAGATTTTTACATTGCAGTACATTTGATTGTAGTAAACTTTTACCAGCAAATGTGTTTGACATTTTTTTAATAGAGTGGCTATTCGGCCAGTTGACTGGCAGAATAAAAATGAATTCTTTTTTTCTATATCACATATAATCCTATTTAGAATGAAAAGAAAAAGGCCGGCAGTTTTTCACAGATATATCCACTACATGACACTAGCACTGTAAGAGGTTAAATAAACAAGGCATGATCTTGGATCATGAAGCATGTAGTACGTAGAGTGGGACTGGAGATTTGACCAATCAGATGGTTGGATTTTTTTTTGAAAACTTACTCCACCCTGATATGCGAACGCAACACATAATTTAAATTTACGCGCTTTATTGGGATCGGCTAAACTGCAATACGCCATCTGGTGGGGACCCATTCTCTCCCTCCATTTTCTTTCTTTGTCTCTCTTCAATTAATAGGTTAGAAAGAGTAGAAAAAACAAAATGGAGGGAGAGAATGGGTCAAAATTACTAGATTGTTACTAGACCACCGTTCCCAATTTTTTCCTAGTAACTACGTTAGACAAACTCGCTTTCAATAAGTTCAATTAATTTGACAAATACCCAACAGCTGTTTATACCTGATGGGCGTTTATACTCCGTTTTATTAACAACACACTGGCCAAATAGTGAAATCATCTTATTCTGTCAATGCTCTGGTAGAATAATTAATCCACCTTATTTTGACAGTTTCTCTCTACGACGCAGAATCGCAATGTATTTCTCATCACTGGCCAAATAATTAAATCACCTTATTTTGACAGTGAACTGTCCGAATAGACGTATAGTTTATTTATTAAATGTTTTAAAACAATGGCTAGTGGAGGTGGTGGTAGTTTTATTAGTAAACCGGCTAGAGGCTGGTTACATCCTGATCATCTCGTTAGCAAGGAAGGAATTACCTATGCAGTTAGGGTAAGTTGAATTTTTCTCAAAATTGAGATTTTTAACTTCGAGCTGAAGGAACAAAACTTTTATTTACAATTATTATAATTATAATATCGTTAATAAATATTCAGAAAATTCTTTCTTTTTTGTTAAAAAAAATATTGTTTTCTATTTTACAGTATATTGGATGTGTCGAAGTTAATACGTCAATGAAAAGTTTGGATTTTGAGACGAGATCATGTGTAGCCAAGTAAGTTTTTTCAAAAAAAAAAAAAAACTTTAATTCTTTTTATTTATTAAATTAAAAAAAACAAAATAAATAATTGATTGAATTAATTATCTATTCGCAGAGAATGTATAAACAGGGTGTGTGAAGCTGCAGGAATAAAATCAGCCGATAAAAAGAGAAGGGTCGGTAGAAATGTTTTAAAAGCAATATCATATAAGCCTTATATGGATCATGCAGGATCAAACATTGAATTGACCATAAGTAGTTGTAGTTTAACTTTAACGATACTTGAAACAGATCAAATAATTGCTAAACATGAAATGCCTCGCATCTCCTTTGCCTCTGGCGGTGATACGGTAAAAAAAAAAAAATTTAATATATTTTTTTAAATCTCTTCAAAAAAAAATACATTATTTAAAAATTCTTTTGAATTGAATTAACTTTTAAAAATATTTTTGACAATGTATTTATAATACAAATTTATTATTTATTCAATTAATACTGAAAATATAATTGTCAATGATTAATTTTCTATTTCTAGGATATTTTAGACTTTGTTGCTTACGTGGCGAAGGACATTAAAGAATGGCGTGCCTGTTACGTTTTAGAATGTGGAGGTGGTTTAGCACAAGATGTAATATCAACAATTGGACAAGCATTTGAACTCAGATTTAAAGAATTTCTCACTAAACCATTGCAGTGAGTTAAAATTATCACGAAACTTATTAAATTAAAAAAAAAAAAAAATTTCATTAATAATTGCTTTACTTGTAAATTTAGTCCAGCATTGAATGGTTTACGAGAAGCAGACAGAGATTATTACAATGATTTGCCGGGAAAAGTTCCACCAGATATAGGACCTCCTCCAGTACCTCCACTACCAACTTCTGCATCCACATTGCCAAATTTAAAACATCATCATTCCAATCATAATCATGCGGGGAGCAGCATTCAAAATACACCATTACCCGATCCAACATCTAGCAATTGTATGAAACAATCACAACAATGGTCAGGTAATGGAAACATTTATCATTCAATATAATTATTTATTATTTTGATCTTTCTCAAAATTAATTTTTATTTTTTTTTTAATTTATTGATATTTAAATTATTATTTTATTATTGTCATTTTCAGAATCAGATAATTTAATTGACTTGAGTTCAGATTCCCTTCCTTTACCTTCCAATTACAATGTACCCGAGCACAATTATGTGAATGACACAATCATTGCTGCAAATAAGGAGAGTAGAAGAGAACCAGTTACTTTCTTTGACGCCTTTGATATGCGTAAGATAATCACAAGATTTGTGTTTTATTTTTCTTTTTTTAAATAAATTTTAAAGAATCTTTGTCAATTTTACCAATCGGACAATTTTCGTATTTAATTTTTTAATTGTTAAAATTTAGATTAATTTTTTAATTAAATAAGATTTGGATTTAAATTGTAATTTTTCATTTTTAGAACCTTTTTGTACTGCTATATCGGAAATAATCAAATTGAGTCCTGAATCACAAAAACAACAATTGAAACAGGAAATTTGGTTTCACGGAAGTGTCAGTAGATTTGAGGCCGAATCTATGCTTTCTAGAGTTTGTATTCAATTTTATTCTTCTCTTTTTTTTATTTGGAAAAAATAATTAATATCTTGTGTATTTTTAGGACGGAGATTTTCTAGTTCGAGAATCTCAAGGTTCACCCGGTCAGTATGTATTAACTGGCATGAATAATGGAACTCCAAAACATTTATTACTGATCGATCCTGAAGGAGTTGTAAGTGTTCAAAAAATTTTCTATTCTATTTATAATAAAAAATAGTGAAATATAAATAATTTTTTTTTTTTATAGGTACGCACAAAGGATCGCGTTTTCGATAGTGTAAGTCATTTGGTAAATCATCATTGCGATAATGCTTTACCAATTATATCTGCAGATAGTGCTTTGGTACTTCGGTATCCCGTCCCTAGACGTACTGCATTTTAAGAAAAAGAAAACAGCTTCTCAAGAACAAAAAAAATAAGCCACTAATTTTATCGAATTTTTATGCAAATTGTCTTGTGACTGTTTTTTTTGTTTGTTGAAGAAACGTATAAAGAGAACAGGGAATTTACAGTATAGAATTATTCCATTTGCATAAATACAGGAATATGTGCGAGAAAATATAGCATTTTCATCATAATACAATTTACGTGTATTTAAATTTAAAAAATACTAACTAGAAAATAATTGGAAAAAAAATATTAATATACCAAATTTACGAAAATAGTTTTAATCGACGTATTTTTAAAAATCTTCATTGTTATTAATTATTATTTTTTTATTCATCACATTTTTTTTTATACGAATTTCATATTGTATTATACTCAAATTATATTGAATCTTTTCTTTTAAGAGAAAATAATTCTATTTTTAGAGATCTTTCTTTTTTAAAAGAATAGTGAATTTTTGAAAGAAGAAATTTCAAAATATTGAATGAGTTTGAATTATTTTTGTATTTAAATGAAAAAAAAAAAACGAGAAAACCAAAGTCTACCAATTATAAAATGACTTCAATCTATGTTTCGACCAAATATTATTTTTATCAATATATTGTGATTTCAATGATTTTTACAAATATATGTGATTGATAATTAACTTTTTAATATGAAATTATACATTTTTCATACTAAGATTTATACATATACATTTACCATTTAAATAATCAATGGCTTTATGTATTAAAATTCATCTGGAAGTTGATAGTAAAAGAGAATTGCAGTTTTATTGGTTGTTATATTTTTCTTTATTTCCATAAACAAAATAATATATTTTTAAAACCCTATTGACATTTGAAAAGTAATAATGAATTTAGATTAATAACTCGTTATTCAAAATAATTTTCATTAACATTTATCTAAATAGCAATATAACGAGGAGAAACATTCTTAGTAGAAAAAAACATCTATAAACTAAATTGATCTGAAATATTTTGATCATATAATATATATATATATATACTGTAAAATATAAAAACATTATTTCTGCATTATTATATATCTAAATACATTAAATTTTTAGATGATTTACAAGGATGAAAAAACTATAAGAATATATTTTCGTTCTGCAGTTATTTTTTTTATCACAAATATTCGTTAAAGTTATTTAACAAAATTTCATCTTGATTATTATTCATTATACAGTCATTTCTTAGAGTTAAGCCATATTTTTTAAGAAAGCTAAAAAGCACAACTTTTTTTTTATGCAAACTGTTACTTTTATGACGGAAAATACAGCTTAGCTCTATTAATTTAATATTTTTTAATCTCATTTAAATCAATGATAATTCTGCCAACTTATAAAGCGAGATAAAAAAATATTTTTTTTAACAATCATAATTGAACACACGTAAGTTACCATGAATTATTACGTATTATAAAATTTATATTTTTAATATAAATCTATATAATTTAAAAATATTTCAAATATTAATATTTACAGATTCCATTAAACATTAAGTCGATTTTTTTGTTTAAACATTTTTGATCAACGTTTTCAATTTTTAATTTCATTAACTATATTTATATATATATGAACATTTTCTAAAACTGAAAGTTTTCTAGAAGAAAAAAACAAAAATAAAATTGTAAAACAAATTAGAAAAAAGAGAAAAAAAATTACTTACAAAGTGAAATGCTTCACTAAACACGAAAATTAACTTTAACTTTGAAAAAAATATTAATTTTTTTTTTATACTTGCAGACACAAATAATAATAATTATTATTTTTACTAAAAAGCCTCGTTTTTAGGGAAAACTGATTTACTTTTCTATTACATAAATGTTTACACCATTTCATATTATAATGATCACTGAGAGAAATTTTTACTTTCACTGAAAAAAAAAATATTTAAATATTTTATTTTTGGCACCATTTTTTCTTTTATGTAATAGCAAAGCAAACAAATTTTCCAGTAAGTCTTCAAAATATCACTTTGTGATTAAAAAAATTGATGAACATTTTTCATTTTGAACTTACTTGCGATTATTGACAATGATTATTTAACCTTGATTAAGTCCAGATCCATGAAGTTCTATGAAACTTTCCAATGATTGTGGTACACTGCCACAGTAAGATAAATTATATGTTTTTACTACTTTTGCAGCCATACACTTTAACGATAGTTTTGTTTGTGTTCGTAATATTATATCAGCAACACCTGAAAATTTCAAATTATTATGAAAATCGAGTTTCAAATTATTTTTTTTTTTAATTTTACAAATGTTAAATTTATAAACCAGTTGTTGCAGACTCATAAGGTGTTTTTCCTTGACTATTTACAGTATCCATATGTGCGCCAGCTTCTATTAATCCCATTATAATTGCGTGTAACGTCAAAAAATCACTGGAAATAAATTGAAAATTATAATTATTAATTAATTAACACAAAGGGACAGAAATAATTATATACCTTATTGGTTTTTCGTAACTGACAATTACATGAAGTGGAGTATTTCTTTCGCTATCCATTGCATTCACATCGGCACCGCATTGAATTAATAATTTCGCTGTACTAGCACAAGGAAATCTGTAAAAAAAAAAAAAATAAATAAATATAATGATAAACTCAATAAATAATCAAAACTTACTTGCAAACATCGTTTGTATGAAAATCATCGACGGGAGTTTCAGCATTAACAGCAAGATGTAAAATAGTTTGCCCATCGCGAAGAGTAACATTAAGTGCACATAATTTATGCACTAAATAATGTGCTTTTCTTAAATCTATTTTATCCTTTTCTCTTTCATTTAATGTTATCAATTTTGTTAAAATTGTCATGATATACAGTGTCGTTGTGATATTCGATTCCATTTCATCCTAAAAAAGGAGTATTTTATTATTTTTTTTTACATTTATAAGTTTAAAAAAAATTCTCTAGTATCGTAATAATTTTTATACTCACTTTACTTACGATAGACTGATCAACATCGTCTTTCGGTTCTGGATTATTAATTTTTGTCTTATTTCTCTCAAGTTCCGTGACACTGGCCTCTAAAACATTTAAGACTTGAGCAAATTGCAATTCAACGCCCACGTGAATCATCTGCGAGAATACCTGAAAAATTTAAAATGATTAATTAAACATTTAAATAGTTTAATAAAAAAAAAATAAATTTGTTCTACTTGAGCAAATCGAAGGAGATCCTTGACAACAGAAATATTATTTAGCTGCCTCAAGTGTAATGCACGTAGCCATAAATCGATGCATCTATCAAAACGAGCAGCATCCGCGAAAACAGCTCCTCTATAAACAATCGGATGTGGCACTTCTGGATTATGTGTTCCTAAAAACAAAGATACAAAAAATAAATGTTTTGAAATTTTTTTTTTTCTTTGATAAGAGAAAAAATTACCTAATATTCTTTCTCTAATAACCAATGATTCCATATGAAGGGAATTTGAATCGTCTTTTATACTTTCTAATTGTTGCAAATTTTCACATTCTCGCCAATTTTCATAAGCCGACACTGGTTCACTTCTTTTTTTACGTATAATATTATTTGGATCACTAAACCTAACATACATTTAATAAATATTATTATTATATTAAATAATAAATAAATCAATTTTGAAGAATATTTTTACCTCAAATCCATAGCTTTGAGTAAATATAAATATGCCCATCTGAGACAATAATTATCCTTGTCATTAGCATAAGATGCTCCCAATAATTCATAAGCATCTATAAGATCTTCCTTGGTGACTTCTTCTCTTGTCACTAAACATTCAACAACATGTCTTCTCGTTCTTTCGGCAGCCACCATTAATGGTGTCATTCCAGAAACATTTTTTGTCATTTTTGTCCCGTGTTTCAATAATTCGGATACTATTTTACAGTGATCGCATTCTGAGGCAAAGTGCAAGGCCGTTGCACCACAATGTGCCCGTTCATTTGGATCTGCACCGTTTTCTAAGAGAAAACTCACCTGATTTTAAAAGAAATTGTTTTTTAAATATTCAAAATAAATTTAAATTAATAATGAATTTAAATTATTAATAATAAATAATATTAATTATTTTATATACTAACAACGTCAAGATGGCCTTTGTAAGCTGCGATCATTAAACAAGTATTGTTGTATTTATTAGCCATATGAATATTTGCCTGATGATCAGTTAAATACTTGACAATATCCAATCTTCCATTAAAACAAGCAGCTCTCAAAGGCGTGGAATTTGTTTTTGTTGGATGATTAACATCTGCTCCTGCTTTAACAAGTGTCTTAACAACACCTAAGTGGCCAGCACCTGAAGAAAAATTAATATTAATAAAAAAAATACTAAAATAATTTAATTACATTAATATTCGCAACGATAATAATGAAAAAAAAAACAATAAGAAAGTATTGATATTAATTTCTAAAATTAAAAAATATTAAAAAAATTAAATTACCCGCAGCACACCAAAGAGCACTTGCACCTTCAATTGCAAAACCATCAAATTTAACAGTTCCTTCTTCTTCTAAATCGGGTTTAAATTTATCAATCAACATTTTTACCACCCTATCATTTCCATAACGAGAAGCAACAATTAAAGGTGTACATCTTTGTCCATCATCTTGTAGTACTTTCTAGAAGAAAAAAAGAATTAATAAAAATTACGATACAACTTCTTTAGAATGTCACATAGTTTTATTATTTATTTATTTCAGAAAAATAATCCATTAGTTATAAAAAAAAAAATGTTAATTAATTTTTCTTTGTAAATTAATTTATATAGAGTTCTTTGTTCCTTTGAATCTTTGTTTGAAAGTTTCTACGTAGACATTATTGGCCAATTGCCAAAATGAGAAGAGCCAACTGAGTTCAGTTACACGTGCGTCGTTTTTTTTTTTTTACTTCCAACAAGATCACTAACATGCGACAAAGTGATGAACACCACATGAACTAAATTAATAATCTCACTATGTATAGGACAATATTTTTTGTCATTAAAAAAAATAAGTCAAAACATTTATTTACTATTAAAATGACAATAAAAATTGTTTAAAAAATTCCTATTACATTGTTTTACTTAATAATTTTATTGAAATAACTTATAATGATTCAAAAAAGCATAACTAACAAAAATAAACCAAATTTAAAAAAAGAAAATCAAGATCAAAGGGCTTAGAGAATGATAAATTAGAGATGACAAGAGAATAAATGACGTTTTACCTGATTGATGAGACAGCCAATTTGTTCGGAAGTTTTTTCACTGAGAAGAGCATAAAGTGTTATTGCCATTCCATCTCTAGCTGCATAATAAACCCGATTCATAAGAGAAAGGCTGACATTAGTTTTTTCAGCCATCTCAAGGGTTGAATCAGTTTGAAATGTCATGGTCATGGTTCCTCACTTTAATAATAATAATAATAATAATAAATCGCGCACTTCTACTTTCTCCAACGAATCATTCCTGCAGACTGATAACCTCAAAAGAAAAAATTTTTACTCTCGCCGCCCCATTTACGCTATAAATATACCCCAACTATATAGCTAATACATCAAACTATACATACATATATGTGTGTTTCAAGAGAGAATTCACATGTAAAAATCTTATTGAACTTGCCTCTGTAACGAAAATAGACAATGACTTGTACCAAAATTCGTGCCAAGATTATAATTTTCCTCTTAGTTTCTTTTATAGGCTAAATCAAGTTTTATATATATATAAAATTTTAATTGAATACCTTAAGTACTACCAAAAAATTCATTATATACATAAAGAAAAATTATTTTCATTCCACTAATGGTATTCAATATTTTGACAGATTCTTTTTGGAATAAAATGACGTTTTGTTTAAAGGTTAGGAAAACTGCTTTTTTGCTTTGCAAAGATATGAACAAAATCACAAATACACTCGCGAAATATATATATAAAATTACATTTTTATAAGTATAAAGAAATATATTATAATATATAGTAAATATTTATAATTAAAATTATCTCTGGATGTCTATATATGAAGAAATAAAAACAAAGTTAGAAATGAGCTATGTTTTTAGAATGATCTTATAAGCGTTAGTTCTAGGGTTTGTCCGACTTTAAAAGAGGTCACTACTGGTATTTGTCTTTCACTCTAATTCGTTAATTCAAATTTCAGCGGGGATAATTAACCAATGAGCACAATTGTTTTCGGAAACTGTCGTCTGCTTTGAAACAGCTGATTTTGCCGTCTGCTTCCGGAGCAAGAATAAAAATTTTAGGTTATTTTGTTGATTCTTTGCAATTAAATGAAGTTCAAAAGTTACATTAATTAATTATTAAATCCTTTTTATGAATTATAAATAAGAATTCAATATTTTGCAAACTATGACTGAATCTTCTGTTAAAAATGTGAATAAAACTAATGATGATGATGATATTGACGATCCACTTGAACGCATGTTAAAAAAAACAGGATGCATGGAATTGCATTTTAAAGTTCAGGTAAAAATTTATATTTTTCGTAATTAATTGTGTTATATTATTCATTAAGTTTTCATTTAAAAATACTTATATTTATTTAATTACTTGTGTAAAGTCGAAAAATAAAAATTGTATTTTGCTTTTTTGTTTTAAAATTTAAAAATTTTATTTTATTTTTAAAATATTAAAATTGTAAATATATTTTTAAATTTATAAATCTTAAATTATTTCAGGAATGTATAGCAGAAACACAAGATTGGAGAAAGTGTAAAGAACAAGTCAATATATTTAGAACTTGTATGGAAGAATATCAACGAAATAAGAATAAGAAATAATCACAAAATGTCATTAATGATAAATAAAATCAAATCTCTGCTCAGTAACCGAATTCAATCAGTGTTAAATTGTAAAATGGTAATAGTAGTGCGCACCGATATTCCAATGGGAAGAGGAAAAATAGCAGCTCAATGTGCTCATGCTGCTGTGCAATGTTGTCAAGAAGTTAATTCTTCTAAAACACATAAACTAGCATTTAATTCTTGGTTACTAGTAGGTCAACCAAAAATTATACTTCAAATTTCCAATGAAAAATCACTTCTAAATTTAGCTAATGAAGCTAAGAAAATTGGACTTCCTTTTGCAATAATAAGAGACGCTGGTAGAACACAATTAGAACCTGGTACTATTTCCGTTTTAGGAATTGGACCTGCACCTAAAGAACATGTCGATAAAATAACTTCATCGTTAAAATTACTGTAAGTCTTAAAAAAGAAATAAATTCCTAAATTTTAAAATAATTTTTCACTTTCAATTTAAACAAAATATTCCAATCTTTTAATTTTTGTGATAAAATAGTTTTACACTATAAAAGAATAAAATCTATTTTCTCAGATATTTAGTTTATTAATTTTTTTTTCTTTTTTTTTGTTCACATATAAAAAAGAAAAACATTCTCCATTCCAAGTATAAACGTACAGTATAAACATATACAAATTAATATTAAAAACAATTAAATTGATCATGATACATTTTTCTTATATAGATGGCGAGTGCAAAAAAAAATAATTGCAAAAATTTTCTTTTCATAATTTAAAAGTCATACTTTCAAATTTTTAAGTCAAAATTACTAACAAAAATAACGAGAAAAAAAATTCTACAATTAACATGCTTTTTTTTTACATTATATCGATACAATATTTTATATACTGTGCGAATAATTTTTACATAAATTTTTTTTAAGGAAATTTACTTTACTTTCTCGAGTTCTACTTTCTGTATTTTATTCTTAATCGTTGCACATATCACTTTTCGATGAATTTTGTCATTCAAAAAAAAAAAAAAAAAAAAACATTCTAAAATTGAATACAATTAAAATTAAAATTTTTAAAAATAATTATTAAAAATAATAATGACAATATTATGACAATTAATAGGTAATATTAATAAATAATAATACGAAAAACGTAACAAATATGGCATCAATTAAATTAATTGCGTTGTACTAAATTGAATTTAGCTATTATACAAAATTCATTTTCTAAACATAATTCTTTAAATTAATAAATCTTAAATCTATAAGAAATTTGAGCAGTGAAAAATTCTATTTCTGTTAAAGCTTTGTACATTTCATTTCACTTTTAAAATTCTATTGCACATGCTCATTAAATTTGATATTATATTTCAAGTCATTATTATATTATAGCTATTATGACAAAAAAAAAAGAGAGAGAAGTTTAAAATTCTATGAGTGTCTTGATTTTTTTTTTTTAATCGAGTGCTCAAATATTCTACTTTTCTAAAAAGTAATTTTTAGATGCCTTACATATTTTATATAGTTTATCAAGTTTGAGCATCAATAGTATAAATAAAGTGTTTATAAAATACTTCAAGTTATACTATTTTTTTTCAGTGATTAAAAATGTTTCTAAAACATTTATCACGTTTACAATATATGATTGTATATAGTTTATACTATAAGAGATAGTAACGAGAAATTACTATCCAAATCATATTTTCACAAAGACAGAAAAAAATTTACTCTAATCCCTTCACAACAAAACTGATAGTAACACTGTACAAATATTTCTATTAATTATTAATCCTGCACTATTTAATTTCTTTTTCCCTGATTGATAATCGAATTTATTTCAAATTGTTCATAAAATGTTATAATTTTAATTATAATTTAATTATTGAAAGAAAAAAATTAATTTCGATTTACTGAAATAAAACCTGTATTTTTATCCCCAAATTTAGCAAATTTTCTATATATATATATATATATAGTAAAGATAAATATACGAAATTTCATGATATACATGAAAAAACATCTACATTGTATATAATAAATTGTAGATAGGATAGAAGATACAAAGACCATAGTGTAAAAGGGTGTACAAGATATTTCAGTCTCAAATAGCACAGGTTAAAAAGTCTTTCCCTATTTATACTTCCTACAATGTTTCACTGTTTGGCAAATATTCATCACATTTCTTCTTATATAATCATTTAAATTTTAAATGTACATAAACATTAAAAATCTCTTTACCAGGAATCACACTTGTTGTTGTTTATAATTATGCTATGACTTTACTTAATTCTGATGGTTCCACATAATTATTTAACACATGTGGCGCCTCATTGAATTCATCAAGTTCATCGCCATTATCAGCGCCTTGCGCTAACAGGAAGTATTGTTCGCTTCGCGTTGGCCACAATAAATGTGCCATAACACAGTAGGCAAAACAATCAGCTGAATATGTGATGCCTAAAAAATAAATTATTTATTTTAAATATTTTTAAAAGAAAATTTTTTTTCAATGAAATGAAAAAAAAAATACTAACCTAGTAAAAGTTTGAACCTCCAAAGTGCACTGACTTGAAGCGCAATAAGTGCAATGATCGGAAGATAAATGAACCAAACAAGTGACGATGCACCGAAATGAAGAAGAAAATTTAATTTTTGAGTATTATGCTCATACGTCATTGTATTTCGCAATTCAAATAAAAACCAAATCATAATGATACTGCGAAATAATAGAATAAACCATCCAGGCCATGTTTGATATTCATCAATGTCTTCAATGATATCAACTTCCGTCTTGTAAAAGAAGAAAAAAAAAATTAACATCTATTTTCATGATTCTGAAAAATAATTATTTTATCAAATTTCTCTCACCATATTCCAAACATACAACATAATATGTACAATCCCATAAAAGAGCCAAATTGTGAATACCAATGGTTTCCATGTTAATTCCATTCTTGTAACTGCCCATCCCTTGGCAAGTAAAAGCAACAGCAGCATAAATGAAGTCTGAAAAATATTAATAAAATATAAGAAAACAATTTTTCTTTTAAATTAAAAATTATTCACTAAAATTTCATTTAGTAAAGTGTGTCTTACACGTGAAAGAATATCAAAAATATCCCCGGCCGCTTCAAGTTGTTCGTAGCCAACGCCATCAAAGGCAAATTTAATTTCATGAATAACAATTAAGCACAATGCTATAAACTCTAATAGTAAACTTGCTGTAAATAATCTCGTAACTGGATGTTTTTGTAATCTTACTGCATAAATTTGTAGTGGCACTAATATGACGTAACACAAAAAGAACAATAAATAAAGTTCTATTGTATTTTGTCGATCATATGAAAATTGATAGCTAAAAGTATTTAAACTACTTGTATTTGGATTACCATTCACTAGCCAAATATCATAATCAAGTTTTACATTTTGTTCATAATGTTCCCATTTACATGTTGTCATGTTTCTATAACACGACACTAAACTAATATACCAAAAATTTGGTTGCCAAACATTTTCAATAGTGAATGTAAATTGATGATTTTTTATCACGTTCCATGGTTGTTCATCCTCGTCTATACATAATTTTCCCTTTGGACATGGTACACGTCTAGAAATAATTTTTCATTTATTAATTATATATATAAATTACAAATTTTGTCTTTCAGAAATTATTATTTACCTTAAAAAATCTTGACCCTCCTCGTTGCATTTAGAATCATAAGAACTTTGATTTAATGTACGAAACATCATTGCACAAGCTCTACTTTTATCTCGTATTTCACGATTATTGTAATATTCTAAAAAATGATCACGATCAAGAACAGCCAACGTGACAGGTACTGAGAGTTTCGATTTTGAGGTTATATTACCAAAAATATAACCATAAGTTTCTCTCTGTCGATGTTGATCGGTTTTTTGAAAACCAAATTTATTGAGAAATCGAAAAAATTCCTTAGTCTCAAATGTTCCACTAATATGAGTGGACATAACTGTTGAAAATTGACATATAAAAGCAAAACAAAACAAACACGACAATAGTCGAGCTGTCAAATATTCTCTGTTGTGTTGCATTTTTTCTGCTTTTTTTTCTCAATGGACGAATTGTGATTAAAAAATGAACTGTCAAGACAAAAATTGCGTAAGAATCCTTGTCATTCTTGTGAAATCAAATCCTCATAACTTTCACCGAGGAAACTTCCAACTAAAAAGTTCTTGACACTTTGTTCCCAAACAATCATACATATATATATATATATATATTTTTTTGTAACTTCAAATAAATCTCATTTTAATTGTTGATAACATTTGACAATTAATGCTCATAAGCACGAGATTATAATGTCACTTTCTTATAATATCGATTTTCCCCGCCCCTGTGGACACTAGAAAATTTCACTTTCTATTATTATAAATCACGTAATCTTGCAAACGTGTAACATAATGTTTACTGGATAGAAAACACTACAATTACATTAATACTGAATTTTATTCTGCATATGTATATAGTAGATATTAGATAAGAAAAGTTTTCTCTTTTGTTTTTGTTTTATGAAAACACGTCTTACGTCATTTCACAAAAATTATTCCACGTGGTCTTTATTAGTGTTGGTGTTGTAAAATGAATAGATTTTCTCATAATTAAATAGTATTTTCTACACAATATACTTCTTGTCATCTTCTTTTGTTAATTAAAATAGATGGATAAACAAAAATTCTTTTAAATGACATTCGAACATTATCACGACCTAACCTAAACATTTCTGACACTGACAGTACATAACCTAATCTGACAACTTTAAATCGATAGGTATCGATACTAGTGCCGTGGCATTTAAATATTCAAATTTATTCCTTTTGATAAAGAGACCAAATTTATTATTATTATTATTATTATTATTAGTGTTATTAATTAAAAAAAATTAATAATCTTCAAAAATATCATAGTTCTATGTTTGACAGGGTATTTAATTTTTAAATTAATTTTGAAAGGATCGATTCAATGTATCGATTCTTCCATCGATTTTTCGTGTATCGATATCTATTTCCGGTGTTTGAATTTAAATTTCTTGTGCGCATGTTTATTTGTTTTATTCAATTTTAAACAATGACGATTAATTAACTGAATTATTTTACTATATATTTCAATTTCAAATGTAAAGAAAGTTTTTTTCTTTATTTAAAAGAAAATTATTGTAAATATAATCCATTATTTAATTTTTTAAATGTCTAATCATAATAAAGTTAATTAATAGTTATAAAATTCAATTTAATAGCCACAGTTTTTACGAAAATTAAATAAAAAATTAAATAAAATGTTCTTTTCTTTAATTTAAAAATTTTTTTTAAAAGAACATTTTTTTGCACAATGTAAAAAATTAATTTTTAAAATGTCATTTATTTGGATTTATTCCTAACGAATGTTTTGCAGTAAATTTTATTTTAACTAATTATTCTATAATAATAATAATAATAATAATAATAATAATAATAATAATAATAATAATAATAAAAATTATTATTATAAATGGATAATTTGGTAATTTTATATAAAAAATTAAACAAATAGAAAAAAGAAATAAATTAATTAGCATTGAAAATAAATGAATAAATTGTGTAAAATAAAAAATGTTTTTTTTTTATTTTGCGCTTTAAAAAAAAATATTATTATCATAGGTCTGGGAATTCCCTGATCCATTTTATTTCACCTTGCAAAAGTTCAAACATATATACTAATCCATAGTGCAAGGTTCTATTATTATTTATTATTCTTTTGGACAAGAGTGTACAGGTTGAAAAATTTTTGTAACGGGGAAAGTGTAAGATTTTTGAGGGAAAAATTTTTCGTGTATTGGCATAATAATTTAGTCGTGGGAACATGGTACAGTCGACGTACTCACCGAATTGCTAAATAAGAGACACATCTGGAAACGATTTTCATGCCATAAAATTTTTGGTACCTGCTGAGCGTTTACACTGTGCACTCTCAAGAGGATCATTAAAGGTTTTATTTCCCTCTCTCTCTTACTCAGGAGAATTTACAACAACCTGCGTATATATATATATATATATATATATATATATATATACCCTGTCCTTATATATGTATATACCTATATATACTTTGTTTAAGAAACATCACACCTTGCTTATTCTTTTGGTCGGATTTTAATTTTACCTGCTGTTTAAAAAAAACAATTTTTTTTTTTTTATTTCAAAATAATATTAGTCAAAATAATAGAGGAATATTGAAAATGAAAAATGAATACACAGTAAATCGATTCTAAACTTTGGTTTTTTTATATGTTTAAAAAAAAGGGGACTAAAAATATTTTTTTTAATTTTGATTCAAGAAAAAACTGATGATTGTGATGTTTGTTATTTTTTGGAATAATTTTTTATTATGAAAATTTGAATTTATTAAACAAATTTAGTATTTTTTTTTCTTAATTTATAATTTTTTCGGTTTTAAATATTTATGAGAAATACAATTTTCTTTTTATCATTTTTTTTTTAATGTAAGGCCAATATTATTAAAATCAAACAAATTTTGTTTTCTTTTTTTTGTAAATAAATATTTGTTTAAATTTAATCAAGTTTTTGTTTGTTTGATATTGGGAATCAATTTTTATCAATACGCACGTGTCGAAAAAAACTAATTTTATTTTATATCTATAACTTTTTTATTTATCACTCTAAAATTAACAAATTTAATTTTAAACATTATTTAATTATTTTAATTAAAATATTTTAATTCACAAATTGTTATTTAATAAAATATATTTTTATAACAATAATAATATAATAAATTAAACAAAAACACAATATTTTACAGTAAAATTTTAATAAGTTTTTGAATCTTGGTAGATTGTTATAAATAAATTAGTTAATTATTATTATTTTTTCATTAGTCAAATTGTTATTATAAGTAAATGATTTGCAGTAAATGTAAACTGATTTATTGTTTAATTAAATTACAGTGTTTAAACTGTTTTTTTTTTTTTTTTTTAAATTATAATTTAGAAAAAAATTTAACTTTGAGATTTAAGAGAAACTTCGCTCGCGGTTCAGGATTTTTAAATTGTCTAATAAATACAAGAAATAATAATTTTTCTCACTTATCCAGGTTCGAGTGTATATATCCTTAAATGAAAATATATGGTTATTTTCTATAATTTTTTTTTTTCAAAGGGGATGAATATTGTGCAATTTTTTCTTTCTTTAAAGGATGCTGAGAAAGGATTTACCCTCTAATATGTGCGAATATAAAATTCGCACTTTCTCTTTATATGCCTCCCCCTTAAAAAAAAGATATACATATATCCAGATAAATACACTGTACCTCATTTTTAACTCTTGTGAGGGTAAAAGAGAGAGAGAGAGAGAGAGAGAGAGAAAGAGAGGTAGAGACGCAGGGGGATAAAAAAGAGGGAAAATATATAATAAGATAAAGGAAAGGTGGAAAATCTGATGATGGTGGGGTTGCTATACATAGAGTGGTTGTGAGGCGTGGCAACTGTACCAACCGACCCATTTCCTCTGTTGTATCTGTCCAATGGAACCAAGAGGCGTTATCTCCCAGAGCAACACGAACATGTTTCATCAGGTTCATGTCAATGTATATGTTCCGCAAAGAATGAATCGGAGGGGGAATAGCGAGAGAGAGAGAGAGAGAGGAGGAAGAAAGGCGAGAGAGTGTGATGAGAGCGAGCGAGCGAACGAGAGAGAGAGAGAGAGACCAGAAAGGATAATACATAACTCAGAATACATATAGCATTTGGGTACCAAGAAGAAGGGAATATGAGGCTTGGTTGATTGTTGGTCCATGCGCTGCGGGGAGTCCCTCGTGTACCGTGAACCCAGTTGTTATCCAAAAAACGTACGGCACTGATTTTAATTGGCATAAACAATATATAGTGTGCAACGCTAATTAATTTTTTCCTTCAAATTTTTTTTTGTTTTTTTTTTTAAATAAAACAAATACGTTACAGCATCCCTATAACGATATAATAATAGTCCTCCCTCATGGGAATGGAAATTTCATATATGAAAGTGATGTTTATAATTTAAACTTTTTCTTTAATTTCTTCCTTCTTTTTTATTAGTGATAAATTATCTTTATTCAAAACTTATTGTTATAAGATTAGGAATTTTTCATAATGTATACGAAAGTGAATATTTTACGAACAAAAATTTAGTGATTGCAACAATCCATCATCCAGAGGAAAAATAATAGTGCGACATTTTATGTGCGACGGTTATTATTAAAGACAAGAGTGAAATTTAAAATTAGTGCAATTATTTTAATGCATTATATATCATTATGGAATGTGAAGGAGAAGCAGTTTTTCAATAATTATTCACAAATTAGAAATAAACAGTAAATGCATAGAAAGCAATTTAAAAAGTATTTTCAGATTTAACACAAAAAAATTGATATATATAGTATAAATTTGGGAGAAATTTAATGATTGCTTTTTATTATAGAACAAACATTTGCATAACACTATATGTATAATAGATTACAGGTGTAAAACATTTAGAGACAATTTATTGTTATTACCCATAAAACTGTAAAATTTATACAACAGATGACTATCGGAATAGCGCAATTTCAACAAATGTTGTTGATGAATATTATAGTTGCCATATAATTATTCAAATAATTGATTGCAATTTCAATAACAATTCACTGCAAAATGATCTTTTATCACAAAATCATCTTAATAACATCTCTTTCATCTTAAAAGAAACTAATACTATATTTTAAAATATGCGGTTTTCCATAATGAACATCTTAAAAAATATAGCTTAATTAATACTATTTTTATAAATATTATATTACTTCTATTACTATAAAAAGAATACAAAGAATTGTTGTTGATGAAAAGCAGTATAGAAATTCATTTTAAATCATGGAAGTAAATTTTAAAAAGAATTTTAAACCGAATAAAATATAAACTCTACTAAATCTGAATCAGCGATAAATATATAACCATATATTCTAATTAGAATATATGCGATAATTTAAATTTCGCTGTTACAAATTTATTAGAATATTTATATTCTATTATATTTTATATATTTTTTTGTCCTATTTTCAAAAAATAAAATCAAGAAATTTTTTAATTTTCTTTTCTTTAAAATTAATGATTTATCAAGTGAGAATTTTTATTGATTAGTAGAAAAAATTATCAATATAGATACTGAGTGGTGTGTGATAAATTTTATGAAAAAACTGTGACAAGTATATATATTTAATTGTTCTCCATATATATTAATATCATAACGAAAAATGAGGTGGTTGGAACTACTTGCATTCAGAAAGAATATGATTCGAATATTAACAGATTTTCGAGTGCATTATTTGATAAAACTATTTTCAAAAGTGATTGTCAGTTGAAAAAGGTGACATTAGTATATATTCAGAGAGATTCATCCGGGAAAAATATCCGTCGGAAACCAAATGAAGTGGTTTATCATTGAAAAGGTATGGCTCATTTATTCATATATATATACACTATAATTTATAAAAAATAATAATTACTGTAAATAATACATCAGTATTTAAAAGTACTATATATTAATAAATAAAAATTTATTTCTCCTATAAAGAATATTTAAAGTTTATAAATAAATTTAATAAATAATTAATAAATATTTATTAAATATTTATTAAATTATATAAAGAAATATTTTATTAATTACCTCATAATAATTATAATAGAATATAATAAAATATATAAACTAATATTAAACAAAAAAATTAAAATCTGATAAAAAAAAATTTCCATTATTTTGTAATAATTGAAATTTTCATTTTTATGTAAATATTTATTCTATAATTTATATTAAAATCAAATGATACACAGTTGCCGGGTAAAGAGGTAAAAATTTCTTTGCCCCGTTACTTGAGTCACTTTTATCCCATTTTATCAGAAAATTAAATATAATTTGATAATTTTTTGTTTAAAAAATATGTATATATATATATATATATATATATATATATAAAAAAACGTTGCACATAAATTTGTGTGCAATGTAAAGAGCCATATGTAACAGAAATACAATAGGGGTAGGTCTGATCGGCACGCGCGACGCTTTGTCACGTTCCTAATAGATATAGAGTGTGACTCGTATATAGCCCTTGAAAGTCATGCTTCGTTATACTATATAAATGATTAGTATCATTCACAAAGTATAATTCGCATTGATTGTGGAAAAAAAATAAAATTCTCTTTTTTCGATAAATTAAAAAAAAAAATCATTTACTTTTATTGACGCACCCCAGAAAACAAAATTATATTTTTCTCAAAGTTAAATATATAAATATTTGTTTATTTCAAATAAATTTTATTTGAACTAAATAAATTTTAATTTAAATAAATTTTAATTTAAATAAATTTTAATTTAAATAAATTTTAATTTAAATAAATTTTATTTGGTTCTAATAAATTTTATTTAGTTCAAATAAATATTGTTCAGTTCAAATAAATATTTATTTAGTTCAAATAAAAATTATTCAAATTTAAATATAACTTTTCTTGCCCAAGTGCAAAATATTTCTATTATATATGAATTACAAGATCATTTTTTATCATTTCGATATTTGCAATTCAATAAACATTAGAAACAAACTTATTTTCTTTACTTTAATAACATTGATATTTTTTAACAAATATATAAATATATATATATATATATATATATATAGCTTTTATTTGTGCGCGAACGGATAATTTTATTGTTTGAAAATTCCTTTTGTTTTACAATATATAGTTGTTATATTTTCACAGTCACGAACCCGATAACATATATCTCCTTCTTTGTGGTGTAAAATAACTTTTGAAACATTGTTTAAATAATTTCACAAATATATATATATATATATTGAGTCGCAAGTTAATTTAAATATTCTAATATATTGATTATTGCTTGTGCGTATTTACAAATTATAAATTTTTAAATAAAAAAAAAAAATAATAATAATAAATATACTCTGAAGACTAAAAGAGAAAAAGATGCTGGTAAATTGTTCGAAATTTTACCTTTTGAATATAATTTTAAAGATTTTAAGATTGTATTACGTTGATGCCCGCATAACTTTATATTTCTTCAATACGCGATCTAATGTCTCATTTATTTATCATCTTTCACCCTTCTTTTTATGAAAACTCATCGTATTCAAGGTTAACAAAATACATAGGTTTGTTCTTAGTTTTTTTTTTTTATTTCAAATTTCAATAATTTAATTTTATTCATAATTTTAAATAATCATATTATAATCAAAAAGAAATTTATTTCGATAAGACAATAAAAAAAAAAGTTGTGACAAATCAACATTTTTTAAATCACAATTTTACAAATAATCGCGGTTTAATTATTTTTGATAAAAATTAAAATATTCAATTCTACTGATATTTTAATTTTATATATTTTCACTTTTTTTTTACAATTTTAATAAATTCATTTTTTAGATATTCACGAAAAATGTGTTTAAAAATAAAAGTGAATTATATAAATCTTAAAAGCTAAATTTAGAGTATTTTCTTAACGATTGTAAAGCTGCGAGCTAAAGGGTTAAATGAGAATAATATCGATTCGTAAAAACGACGCTAAAATTAAAACTTTATAAAAGTTTATTTATTTTTTTTTTTTTGAGAAATTTTGGAAATTTTGGTATTTAACCGCGCGCGCGCGCTTCTAATTTAAAAAAAGCATAGAACAGAAGTTAAAGTAAATAGTTTAGGTATATATAAAGAAATATATAACGAATCCAAAAAAACAACCGGATAAAGGCGTGTCGTTTCCTAAAGTAATTTGTAAAGTTTCCCCTTAAACGTGATCTTTTCCCATGTAACTCACCCCCCTCATCTTCAACCCCCCTCCCCATTTCTAACACCCTTAAATGCTTATATCGAGGTGACAATATTCTCCACAAAACTTGTGTATGTCTTTACAGCTGTTTGACTCTGTTTTATCCACGTGCTTTTTTTCACTATTCCAAATTTTATATTTATTATCACTATATATTTTCCAATTTCAACCCAGATATATTTACAAACTTTTTTTCATTATTCCCTAAAGTTTTAATTTATATATTGCTGTTATAAACAGAATTTTTTTTTTTTTTTTTTTTGTAAATTCAAAAAAATGTTTGTTTTTGTGAAAATATAAAAAAGATTTTAAACTAATTTCACCAGTGAACTGAACCGCATTTTAGAAAATTTAAAATTAATATTTTAATAAATAAATAAATTTTTTATTTACTTTCTGTTTTTCTGCACTTGAATTTATGTATATTAAAATTTAAAAATTTTGGAAATAAAATGTATATGGTGTGAAATGACGATAATTGTAATGGTACTTGGAGGCCAACTATATAGGTATAGTGCTAATAATAGTGAGTATATGTACCAGCAATATACCAATAATTGAATGAGTAAGGCATACAACATCCTGGCACGTGCGTAAACAGCTCTTACGTAATTCAGAGTGGCACTATAAACTTATTGGAGTCTCTCGAAATATCTTCATATTTTTACGGGCGCAAAATAAAAAAAAAATTAAGTACACCAAACTTTTGCTCTTCTTTTTCCATATATTTAAAATCTATTTTATTTTTAATAGAAAAAAAAGAAGAAGAACAAAATTAATGAAAAATTGTTATATATTTAATAAATAATTGAATAATATATTCTAAAATTAAAACAATTTATTCATTATTTTTTGTGTATATTTTATTATTTTTCACATACTCGTAAAAAGATTCATTAATTTGAAAATAAAATTGCCCCGAAATTTTTTTTTCGTTGATAAGCGATTCAAATGATTTCTGTCAACGAGAAAATAATTAATAGCTCTTCAAAGACTCTTGTTACAGTCGCAGTGTGTGTATATAATAAAAATTCGAGTGTGAACGTAAATTTTGTAATGTGTCATTTTATTGGACTTTTTTTTAAAAAACTATCCGCGTCTCTTTTATATATATTATTTGAACGCACAAATGAAAGAAATCAATTGTATACAATTTTCGAGTATATATATATATATATATATATATATATATATATAGAAAATTTGAAACAAAGGCCACCTCTATTCCATCTAAGATCTAACAATATTTTTTATTATTTTTTTCCTAATTTTAAAATTCGAATTAAATTACTAAATAATTGTGCGGATAGAAAATTTTTAATTCAAAAGTAAAAAAAGTTGGAAAAATTAGTATAGCAAATATATTCATCCTATAGAGCTAAATTTGATTCAAATAAATTTTTATTTTTTTTTAAATAAATATTTATTTCTTGCAAATAAATGTTATTTCATTTAAATTTAAAAATTTTATTAATGACAAATAAAATTTTTTATATTTATAAAATAGAAATTAGACTCTGAGATATAAATATATCCGTTTATTTAACTTAAATATATTATATTTGTTTCAAATAAAACTTGAGGAAAAAATTATCAGTACTTCCTATATATATGTAATATTTAAAATTCCGGAAATGAATTTAACGGATTTTAAACATTTTCGTGGTTTTGTTATAACACACCCACAGGAATCAAGTATATAATGTGTCAAGAAGTCGAGAGATTTTTGACCGCTCTTTTACTATAAGCCGACTAATCGAAAGGGCATGTGTAGAAACACGAAATTCGACACTTCCTAAACATCCTTTAAATTTTTTACTTGATGACCTTTTAGGAATTTACAGCATTTAACCTTAGAAATATATTTTCCATAAAAAGAAAAAAAAATGCGACCAAAAAAAAAAAAACTGTTTATATGCAGTAAATCATATTCTTGACGGATATTCACACTTTTTTTTTATGGCACGCGAGCTAAAATTTTTAATTACCGGAAAAGAGAAAATACATTTCAATATAGTACATGAAAATTATCAACCATAACAAAAGTGTAAATTTATATTCTTTTATTTAAACATATAATTAATTTATAAAAAATATATTAATTTAATTATTATAAAATAATTGTTATTATAAATTCAAATTTTGTTGTTTATTTTAATCGTTCGTGACTTTTTTTTATATAAACAATAATGTTTATCAAAAAAAAGTAAAATGTGAAATAAACATTCAAAAATGTATTAAGAAATTGACACGAGTGTTATTAAATCATAATGCATCATTAATGTTTTTCCGGGGTTATTATCCTCTCTGTCTCAATAATATATATATATGTATATACCATGATTCTTGGATGTCAAGTTTTTTTCATTCGCAGATTTAGTTTCGCGATATTTGAAAGAATTATCCTCTTTTTATCATTAAAATCACTTCCACATTTTTTTCATTATTTAATTTAATTTTGTTAAATATTTGCACACAAAAAAAACAAACAACAATAATTCTTATTGTAATAATAATTATTATTATTTATCATTATTTATATAATTTTATTGTTTGTAATTATAAATTTATTTAATAAAGACCTAATAAAAGATGTATATTAAATAAATA